TACTACATGTATAATTATGTTTACATATAGGTGCAGAAGTATACACACAATATAAACATACACATACATAAATTTAATATTATACATAAATTACACAGTCTGGTACTAGCGTTGTGAATTTTCTGACAATTCATTCCGAAGAAGTTCGCGTACTTTTGTCTTGAATGTAAGGCGGTTTGTGGACATCCTGATTTAGGCATCGGATTATGATTTCGGAAGGTGTAAGGAGGCATAGAAGAAGCATATTGTTTGTTGATTGAAGATTTTGGTCGTGATTGGAGCATAAGAAACGGAAGTAGGGCACGAGGTATTCAGGTATCGATGAAGAATTGAGGAAAGAGAACAGAGAAGTCAGTGCTCGGAGACTGCGGCGTTGACGAATTGGTAGCCATTGTAGCTGGGAGCGGAAAGTAGACACATGATCATGCTTGCGAAAATTAAAAACGAATGCAGTTATTGAGAAGGCGATCTAGTTTATTGAGAAGGTCTGCATTCAGGTCAAAATAACACACATCACCATAGTCGATTAAGGGAATAATTAAGAACTGCATAAGCGTAGCCTTCACTTTAGCGGGAAGGAAGTTCTTTAGAGTCTAAAGAACTTCCTTCCCGCTTTATATCGATAAAGCGCGAAGACATGTGGCGACTTTCTGGCTGACGTGTGTAACTTGTGCTCGCCAATCAAGTGTCGAATCTATATGTAACCCCAGGTTTTTTACCACTGGACTCAAAGGTATATTTACGTTGTTGTACACAACTGGTGGGATATTCAGCCTAGTTAACATTTGTTTGCTTCCGACGACGATCACTTGACATTTGGTAGGATTTACTGACAAACCAAACCTTGTCGACCAGCACTTTATATAGTCCAAGTCTTTGTTGACTATGTCGATAGCGTATGAAGTGTCCTCACCCTTGACTGTGCGTACACTTCAGCGTATAGGTGATATGTTGATGAAGGCCTGTGTGTGAAAGAATGTGATTCTTGATAGTGACAATCATACGACGGCTGATGCCGTCACATCCTGGAACCAATGGACAAATGGAACAAATGGACAGGATAATTTTCCGAAAAGAAAGAAGATACCGGAGAAAAGTTAAAGGATTCAAAACGCGTTTCTGACTACGAGTCAGAAACGCGTTTTAAATCTCACGAGAGTTGCAGATGTCGTTCATGGGCGGCGATGGTCACTTTCCATCAGGTGACCCGTCTGCTCCTCTAACATAAAATCAAAATCTATATAGCTCAAGGTCTGACGCATGGTTTGATGATCGCACACAGGTGTAGATGAGAAATGACGATTGAAATCATCTAAACCAATTGTCATCATAAACTCAGGGCGTTGTTGTTTACCAATGCCTAGTGTTCCAAATAACTTCCACACACAGGTAGGTGAAGAGGTTTCTATGTTTTGAAATATAGGAGGACAGTTGATGAGTTTTCTAACATTGTACCTGATTGTTTTGTTTCAATATGGTTTGAAGTAATTCACGCTAATGACTAATGTCCTCGGAGCGCACAAAGTTCCTGGTAGTTCCATTTATCGATGCATTCTGTGGTTTTCCCTTTGCTAATGTATTAATTCAGTGTTAGACACCATTCTATCTTGTAAAGGGTTGAATTGACTATAGAAATGTTCTGTAAATTATCTTTATAATTATATAGATATTTACATAAAAATAGCTTATACTGGGTTAATCTTGAGCTAGTATAATCGATTAAACATACATTGAATGTCAAATGCGAATGTCAAAGCAACTTAATTTCTCGTTAGTTAAAAACCATTTAGATTTTTTTTTTGGCAATTTGAATAAAATTGTTCTAATAAAATGTATACTTAGTCGAATTTTGATAAACTTTCAACACTAAGTCTCTGTTTTCACTTTTAACTTTGAAAAAATATTGCGGAACAAAGATTTCGCACAAAATATATAAAATCAGGATTTCCACAAACCGTTTCACATTTAAAACGAATGTATATAATTACCTTCTTGACACGAGATGGCGGAATACCTTAATTAATAGTACACCTCCTTATAGTCTTTTTTTTTTGTTGACGGAGTGGAAAATCCCGAGAAAAATGTTCGAGCGCTATATCGTCTGAAAATTTTTCTACCTGCTAAAACCATAACCATGCTTGTGCAAACACTTATCTTCCCAATAATCGACTATGGTGACGTGTGCTGAATGCAGATCTTCTCGATAAGCTAGACCGTCTTCTTAATAACTGCATTCGATACATCTTTAACCTCCGTAAATATGATCATGTGTCAACTTTCCGTTTGCAGCTTAACTGGTTACCCATTCGTCTACGTCGTAAATTACGCGCTCTCACTGTCTTATTCAATATTCTTAATAACCCATCTTCGCCAACGTATCTAGCTTCCAATTTCCAACTCCTATGTAGTAATGACGATAGAAACCTTCGGTCCTCCAATAACCTTCTTCATCGTTGTCCGCCCCACACGTCTGAGTTTGTTGGCTCTTCCTTTTTCGTTCAGTCCGTTCTTCTTTGGAATGCGCTTCCACTCGAAATCAGGATGGCTTCCAATACTTTTTCCTTTAAATTAAAAGTAAAGCAGTATCTGGTCAAACAACTGGCAGAATCAAATTGCTCATGATTTCTTTTTATTTTAATACTAAATTGTTATCAGTATCTACTTGCGTGTGTATGTATGTATTCATATACTTTTATATAGTATTTATATATTATAAGGTATGTACTTATGTGTAATATTAATATTACACATAAGTACAATAGTACATATGTGTAGTATATGACAGATTTGTATATGTGTATATATTATATGATTTTGTACAAAGTATACATGTAATATAAAATGTCTAAATCAACTGTAACTAAAATGCACCTACTTCCTGTTTTCTCTGCATCACCCAATGGTTTATTAGTAAAGAATGTCTTAGGCATTAAGTCCGCCAATGCACCAAATGTAAATGCATGATGTGTAAATAAATAAATAAAATCCCTTCGGATCTCCGGCTCCTTGGGGATATAGGAGCCAGGAGTATGTGGTGATTCCACTAAAAACCACTCCGACGGCCAGCCTTAGGCGCCCTGCTCTGAGGGGAACCCGGGCCATGTGATTACAGGTCCCCCAGATCGACGCCGCACCTAACTAGGCCCCATCTCAGGGAAAGCCAGTGGCTTCTCTCTGCCTCTCAGCCTATCCAGATGTTGCAGCCCGATCACATTTTCAGTGCGATCAGGCTGCCATCCTATCCCCTACCGCAGCAATTAATCTGCCACCAGAGGTCCCCACTCTCTGGCGGCCCGCGGTCCCGGCGGCTGCTCGTTACACACCCGACGTCTTGGATCGGCCCTCTCCCGATCCCGTTCAGCGTTCTCTTTCTGGAGCATTACAGCTTCACAGAAAGAGACCACTGCGCCCCAGTCCTCCTCACCCGCCAGCATGGCAGTAATGATTGCTGGCGGGGACAAGTCTCGTCCGATTTCATCGACCAGGACTTCGCGTTCAGATGCCCACGCGGGGCAGTCTTCCAGCGTGTGCTGGCCGGAGTCCCAGCCGGCCGTGCAGTGCTGGCATTGTGCCGTCCTCGCGTCCAATCCGATTCAGGACACCTTATAGTCTAGTATTCACAGTGTACGAATGTAAAATATATATGTATGTATTTGTGTGCACATATGTATATTTATTTCTGTATGTGTGTAAGTTTATATATTTTTTTTCTTTCTTTCTGTATGTATTGGAAAAAAAAACCTTTTACTACAACTGAAAAGTCGGTACACTTAGCTTACAAGATTTCCACACCAACCAAAGTTTGGCTGGTAGAGAATGCCCAGAGCAGGTAAGTCCGCCGATGTACATAAGTGCATAAAGTTGTTTTGAATAAATAAATATGGACGGCCTCTTACAACCTACAAAACTATTTAAAACAATTTTAGAAGAGTTCACTTATTTCTTCACAGCTATCAGTTGTCGTAATCTTAACAATTGTTCATCAATCATCATAGTAGCGTCCTGAATAAGCGTTTACATGCTTGCGCATTTACAGTATTTGATAAGATAAAATTGAATTCATTTTATCGGTGAAATAAATCATTTACAATCTTATGTACGGACATAATGATGTATATCAGTCAAGTACCTTCAAAAGATTACTTAATAGTTCGTCTAGATTGTCGAGTTTATCCCGGTTATCATAATACCTAATAGTGTTTAGTGTTGGTTTGACCGACTTGTATCTTTGCTTACAGCCCTTTTCTGTCTATTTTTCTTGGCATTGTAATATTTAAATAACGAGTTTATATAGATACTGGCTACTTGTTGCTTTTTACAATATAAATTGGTTGCAATATAAAATTTTCACTTCGATCTGCCAATCAGTCACACACACTTTCGGACTTTTTCAAAATTATCTTTGAAAGAAACCGTCCTAACAGCGATCAAACAGAAAAGAAGTAGCCAAGGTGCAGCATGATTATACTACGTAAAAATGACTAATCTAAAAAAAAAGTAATATGACATTTGGAATGATATACTGTCACTTGGAAAAATCTCCATAGTAAGTAGGACTATTACAGGAATGAAACAGTCTGTGAAGTCAATACTGTATCTACCTGTTACTAAAGTTGAAATTAGTATTAGATTTGATAACATTTTGTATGAAATAACAAGACATACCGTCACGCGTTAGTTTTGTCAAATCATTTCATTTGATTGTTGTCTTGGTACTTATAATATAAATAAAACTATATAAAAAAAACACAGTACTTCAACGCATACGTATATGTTGACTTATATTGGCAAATAACTTTAACTATCCTATTGTTCTTGTGCTCTAAGGAATTCTACAGTGTAGTGAAAAAGTAGCTTCCTAGAAATGAAAGATTTCTTTAATTATGTTTAAATGTAACAAAGAATCTACCATACTTCACCTTTTTATAAAATCAGTAAAGAAATACCCATAAACCTCATCCTTCCTTTAATCCTGTGTGTAACCTACCTATTTCCTCTAGGATCCAGCAGCCACGTATGCTGGGCTCGTTCATCGGGTACTTCGGACAAGAAGAAGAACGTTTCTTGCGCGACCGAATTTTGTTGCTCCGTCGACGCATGGATCTCTTTAATAATGACAGTAATCATACACAGTAAGATTCTATATACGCCCTTTTTTTTTATTTACATTTTTCATACAACACAAGGAATGTACGTAGTGTATGATAGCATGAATTTTAGTTCTCATTTAAACTATTCATTATTTTTTCTATTCTATGTCACGAAATTATAAAATCTATATTACCTACATATTTTTTGTGTACCTAGTAGGTACACAAAAAATATGTTATATTATTAATATTGTGTAATACTTGAAAAATATGTTTTTTAGATCATAGTTGTACCACAGCTGAATCATATTTTTAATCTATTATTATTTGGTAATTGAATAGTGTATGGCTGTTATTCTAGGAATCTATTATTTACTGCTTACTACGCTTGCTCAGCGTTCCCAATTAATTACCGAAACAGTTTCTCTTGTACATCATTATTAGATACTTTTTTTCTGAGGATGAGTTTCTTGACTTTTTTTTAAATTTACTTACTTATTTTCTGGGTTCTTTTTAAGAGCAAAGAATGATTGTAGCATATGAAACATAACCTATATTTCTTCTTAGTAGATTCATGATATTATATAATAGGAGCGAGGAGTATGAATGTTGCATGTTGGCCCTCCCGATGGTTTGCGGGAAGCGGGGCGGGGGCCAAATAAATCCCCTGAGGGATCAACAGGATCTAAATTCCAAACAGATCCCCTAAAGCTTCAGTGTGGATAAAAAAAATCCAATAAATCCCCCAGGGGATAAGGGCAGGGAATCCTAGTGGGCGGAGCCGTCTATCTCCTAAAGATAAACCCACAGTAACCATTTTTATCTTTTAAATATTACAAAAAAATAATGGGTTATTTACGAAGCTATTTTAAACAATACATTATTATTCCTTAACCAATTAAATACGTTAGATACTTTTGTGCATTTAATGCAGATTAAAATTGCTCTTTACGGCATATCATTAAAACGAATAAGCCTAAAAGGCCGGCAACGCGTTTGTGACTCCCGAGTTGTAGACGTTCATGGGCGGCGATGGTCAGGTTCCATCAGGTGACCCGTCTGCTCGTCTGCCCCCTCTAACATAAAAAATAGATAATTTTAGAAGATATTAAAGGTTTAAATGGGAGGCTCATCCGCCGTAGAGCCGTAAGTCCGTCGCGGATGGCAGCGGCTGTCAGGATCGGAGCGGGCCTATAAATATTGCATTTAAAGATTGCCTGTAGTAGGTATAGTCCTATCATAATAATGGTATAATTGATTACTGTACACTGACACAACATTAGTATTATTAGTAGACATTAGTATTATTACTACATTGCAGCCGTGCGTAGCCGGGGCGGATCGCTAGTACATAATAATATAGTCACCGTTTCAATACCGGTAGGTACCTATACTTTGTCCAAGGTAGTTTGATGGTTAAAAATTATAAGATTATGTGCATTGCATTTAAGTAGCTAAGCAAGTATAGTTCGCATTATCTTTTTAAGGTCAAGGATAATATATACAAGCTATTTATTATATTTTAGACAACTTTTATTTTTTTACCGGTTCTTATACATCTACTCAGTAGTGCACGATTTTTTTAGGTATGTTTAATTACTTACTAGCTGTACCCTGCCACGCTTCGCTGTGGCATACCTATTGTGGTTGCTTTTATGAGAAATTAGGAAAAAAACTCTGAAGCGGATTGTATATCATGTCAAAGTTTGAGCTTCATCTGTGTCGAACTGATTGGGCTTTTGGAACCTACACAAACCTGTATAACATTTTAATATATATAGATGAATTCATATTATGTTTTAATAATAGTTACACCTTAATCTTCATTTAAATATATAAATTCTCGGTAGTAAAATACTGTACTGTATTACTGTTTACTGTACTTGAAATGAATATTATTTTAGGCGTGACAGATAATTTATTCCCAGAGACTATACAACCTAAGTGATCTAAAATCTCGATGAGCCATAAATTTCAACTTAAAAATACTAAAAAAAAAATGAAAGAGAATTTTAGAAAATAATGTTCTCGAGAATTGAATGTCGCTAGTAGCGGCTTTTGCAGGTATGTATGGCGTGTAATTCTTTGAAAGAGAACATCCATTAATTAAAATAATAAATGTTATTGTATGCTGGTCTGCTGAATGCGAAATAAATTTAAATATTATAATGTTTATTTTTATAGCTAATATAGCCAATAATTATTTGTTAGTAAAATTATTATTATTTTGTAGTTTTTTGCAAAAAAAATTGTTACTTAAATTAATGGAGTAGGGAATTATATTCCAAATTCAGTTCATATTTATGTGCACGAACATAAAGAAATGTAAATATTGTCGAAACAAGCCGAGTTGTTGGAACCAAATATCTTGAAATATGTTTGTCAATAACCGCGTTACGATCATGAATGAAATAGTATGGTAATGATTTATTTTTTTGTATAATACGTCGTTAAAATTTGACATGTAATGGGGCATTGGGCAATAATTTGATTGGAGTGTCTGGGCAGCAGGTTTGATTCCCGCTGCATGCAAATGTTTTTACATTGGTATGCTGTTTGTTCGTATTTTTAAGCACACGGCACCAGCTATACTTAGTTTGAATCTGTTTAAAGTTTAGCAATGTCTTCTAAGATAATATAATATCATTATGAATTTATGCCGAGTGATACTCGTCACGTGACTATCACATACGCATATCACGTGCGAAGTATCAGAGTACTGGGAAATGGATACAAAACTCATGTATTAATGTTGTTGGCATGGTTACAAAACTTTGTCGAAGTACCAAACGCCATAATATTATCTAGATTGATTATGATAGATGCCAAGATTGTTACCTACTTTTATTTCGCCTTTGTTATCAAAATCTTGTGGCGAGTGAGTCTTCTGTTTATTATGGATAAATATATACATAAATTGTCAGTAAACGTACTAAGTTAAAACAATAAAAACAAAAACAAAATTTAAAACAAACAACAAAAAAATACGAGATAGACATTTCTCGGATAATTATGACCTTACCCATCATTACTTACTAAGAGACTACACTTTAAAGCAACTCTACTAATAAGATTTTTTGCATTTTATTCCATTAGGATAGCTCAGCCTGTGTTCCTCGGCAAGCTGGTGGAGTACTACAGTCCTAAGACTTCACTAACAACAGAACAGGCGTACATGTACGCCATTGCCGTTGTTTTGTGTTCTGCACTAAACGTATTCGTCGTGCATCCATACATGATGGCCATATTACACATGGGCATGAAGTTCAGAGTTGCCTGCTGCTCACTTATTTATAGAAAGGTAAGTTAAATAATGTTCGGTGTGAAAATTGAAAACTATCTCATTATCTAACTACCTTCGAGGTCCAGGCCCGAACTTATCTATTATATATGAATTAATATGATGAAATTACAGTATCGTATTCGGTTAAATAAAATAAATTATTTTCAAAGAGTAAGCTTCACAAATGCGCAGTCATTTGAATGAGTGCTCGATGCTCGCATTCAACAATAGGGCACATTCGGTAGTGAAAAATAAATGATGAAACTTGTCAAAATTAAAATTTATGTAAAAAAAAAAAAAAAATCTGGTTATGAGTCAATTATTGTTTTATTATATATAAAAATTAAAGGTAGTTATTTTTAATCTGTATATCACGTGACCTAAAACACGAGCCGCCATGTTGTGACGTCAAATAGGCAAAAACTGTCAGTTGAGTGTAACTTAAACTTCAATAAGTAATAATTGTGTTGTTTCATCAGTGCATTTTATTTGTACCTATTTATTTATTAAAATGCAAACCGGTAAAAGCAGATAGTACGAATCTGCCAAAAATTGATTCAATGATGGTTGCAAAGTTCTTTGCATGTAACCCAAACTTCTGTTTTGCCCAATTCCGGAATGTTAAAACATCTTTGTAAGTATTACTTGTTATATTATACTTATTTTCTATGTAAGTGCCAGGTATATCTAATTAGTAAAAAAATATTGGAAAGTGTGTAAAATCTGGATGGGGTGGTGTTTGCCTTCATTTTAACATGTTTTACAAAGCCCGTTATTTTGTATTCCAGATAATTCTCCTTATCTTGTTCCAACTGAAATAATATTCATTAATTACTAATTTGTTGATGGTTTTCATAGCAATAGTAGGTTATCTTACCATCCACTTTATATATACATACGATTATATAGAAAAAAGGCAAAGTATTAGATTTTAATTAGGGGGTTTTACTTACATTGTTTAAATTACTATAACAACTTATCTGTTTCAATTTGCCAATCGCAAAACCTCGCCCTCATTTACTTAACCGAGTAAAGAAATTGTTACTTGTCATTGTAAATGTTACAGTTTTTTTACTACCGTGAATTAAATAACAATCTGTAGAAAGGTTGTCTGAAAGAAATGCCGTATGTGATGAAAGCGTCGATTGTTACACCTAAATAACTGTTACATGTTTGGATACTTTTGTATTGCATTTAATTAAAGGTAAAACATTGAAACTCTTCTAATTAAGTAAACCATTCATTATACAACATAATGACGCTTTTTACAGCAAAATCACTAATCTCCAATCTAGGAAAGAGTAACACATTGACATGATTAACAGTTTACAATGTCGCACGCTTGAATAGTAATTTAAAGCGACATTGTAAACCGTTAACTCTTGTGTGTCTGTTGTGCTTATTGTCAGTGATCACATTTGCCAGACTTTGTTGTAAGTATTGGTATTTTTTGTTTGAGTTCCGTTGTCCTGGTCGTCCTGCTACATCTACACTGAAGGCCAAAAGTTTAAGACCACCTAAATTAAAGTAGGAAAATTAAATAAAACTCCAATATTAAATGTTTAATTAAACTATTAAATCATCTAATAAAACACTTTTTGACAATCGATATACTTGAAAAGCGTAAAGAAATATTAACAGTCCACACTAAAAAAGGCTATAGTGAGCTAAACTGATTTTTCATCACAAAATCCTCCTTTATATTCTATGACTAGTCTCGGCATACGGGCAATCAATTTGTTGACAGTGTCTTGTGATGTATTGCTCCAACTTTCGCATAAAGCATTCCACATTTCTTTCGTGAGGATGGACCACAATTACGGACGTTCCTATCAAGCTCTTTCTACAACAGTTCAATGGGAATGAGATCCGGGCTCTGAGAAGGAGGAACCATTTTTTTTAACACCCCTTGTGCCTCTTTCTCTTCCAAATATCCTCTGCATAATTTTGAGCTATGCTTAGGATCATTGTCCTATTGGAAAATGAAATCATCTCAAATTAATTGCAACCCCAAAGGAACGGCATTTTGTTCTAATTTTTTTTTGGACTGTTCCTTTGTCATAATTCCGTTAATTTTGATCAAATCGCCAGTTCCTTGGCTAGAAAAGCAACCCTAGACCAGAATTGAACCACCATGCTTGATTGTTGGGACTACACAGTCTGGCATCGTCTTTTCCTGGGCACTGCGTCCAACGTAAATTCTTCGTTTTGAACCAATCGCTCAAACTTAGATTCATCTCTCCAAAGAACTTTTTTTAAATCTTCTTTAGTCCAATCTCGATGGGCAAGGGCTCTCTGCATTAGTTTTTTTTTGTTTTGTAGCCTTAGCAGAGGTTTTCGAACGGCGACGCGACTATACAACTTCGCATCTCTCAGTCGCCGTTTTACTGTAGTCAATGATACAGGTTTAACTCGGGTTTTGTTTACTTCATCGCGGATTCTGGTGCGGTTAAGCGTCTATTTCGCTTGCTGGTATCAACAATGAAATGATCTTTATCTAACGTGGTAGCTCTCGGCCTTCCCGATCGTGGACGATCTAGAAAACTGCCTGTCTCCCTGTATCGAGTTATTATGCCAAAAACACAAGTCTTCGATAACTTCAATTGTAAAGCAATCAATAAAATCCGAACGTGAGTTCGGATTTGCCTTCATTATGTAAAACAACGATGGCAGAACGCACTTCACTGCTATTTTCGGGTGCCTTTCCCATTTTAAGATGTCTTCACTGTAGAAAATACAAGTTTAGACTAATTGAGATTGTTATAAGTCGGAAACACGTGTTTTTAGAAGCTAAATAATCCTAATTATTGACCAATGGGAAACGAAAGTAAAGCAATTAGTTATTAGCACATCATAAGAATATTATTACGATTCTACCACCTGGCTCTAACGCAGCGTTGGTCGGTGTTTGAAAACAATACATGTTTATTGTCCAATAAATTGAAAGTAAATAAAAGAATGACTTCTTTAGATATTCGATATTAACAAAAGAATACGCAGGTGTACATTTATTTTAATTATCTCATTCGATTTCGTTACAATTTACAGATAATTACGAGGGAGCGTTTTTATGTACGCGGGATAAGGGGTGGAAATAAAAAATCCAAATTATTTTTCCTTTTCAATATATTCACCTGCAAGACAGATACATTTTTCAGATCTTTCAATTAATTTGTTTATACCCTCATAAAAAAATGTTTTCTCTTTGTCTTCAAAATACGCCGAAACTGCCTCCTTGACTTCATCATCGTTGGTAATTTTTTTTACCCCGCAGCTCTTTTTTCATTTTTGGAAACAGGTAATAATCGCTGGGGGCCAGGTCTGGACTGTAGGGTGGGTGATTCAAAATATCGAAGCACACCTTATGCAGGGCAGCCAACGCAACGCGGCTCCTGTGGACGGGCGCGTTGTCGTGCAAAAGCAACACACCTTTTGTCAATTTTCCCCGTCTTTTCTCTTTAATGGCTTCTTTGAGTCGCTCTAATATTGAAGCGTAGTATTCTCCGGTTATAGAAACACCTTTATCTTCGTCAATAATATCCCTTCTGAGTCCCAAAAGACCGTTGCCATGAGTTTCCCAGCTGACTGTGACACCTTAAACTTCTTGGGAGGTGCTGTGTCCTTTTTATGCCATTGCATGGAGTCTTGTTTCGACTCAGGTTCATAATGATGAACCCAAGTTTCGTCTCCAGTAACAATTCTACTCAATACAGCATCCTTGTCTTCATTACAAAGGTCTAAAAATGCACGTGAACACTCTACGCGCTGTTGTTTTTGCGTCGGCGTGAGCATTCTCGGCACCCATCTTGCACTGATCTTTGTCATGCCAAAATGATCGTGCAGAATTCAAAAAATGGTTGTATCAGATGCTCCAACCATTTCTGCGAGTTGTTTCTTCTTTAGTCGAGCATCGTCGAGTACAATTTTTTCGACTTTTTGGATAAGTTCTGGCGTGATCACCTCGATGCTCCTGCCCGGCCTCGGGACGTCTTCAAGGGATTCCCTTCCTTGTTTAAATAAACTGTGCCATTTGTACACCATGGTTTTTCCTGGACAAGAGTCGCCGTAAACCAATGACATCTCATTCATTATGGTCGCAACTGATTTTCCTTGCTTGGTAAGGAACTTTATAACGGCACGATGTTCGATTTTATCCATGTTTCACTTTTCATTCCCGATTATGTTACTTGGTGGACGATAACTCAAAGACCAATTGTCTAATAACAATAAAACCTGGTATTATACTAATTACTCATAATACTAATTACTCATAGTGACTCATCACTGAACATGTGTCGATTCTAATGAGCCTAATCACCCCCCTCCAACCCTCTCATTCCGCGAACTTAAAAACGCACCCTCGTATGTGGTCTTAAACTTTTGGCCGGCAGTGTAGCTTGTACATGTAGATCGCCCAACCGATGTGATTTTTAAGAAATAATCATTACGTGATAAGTAAATCACTGAAATTGGCACAAAAGTAAATTTCCACTCTGAGTATGTCTCAAACATTTGGTAATTAAAACCTGTTTAAATTATATATTTTAATTTAAGCAGTAACCACATACTAAGACATGTAAATTGTTCCGGTTGTAATGAGAAACCACTAACAAACACATTAAAAAGAAACTTTGAATTTCAGTGTTTTCATTGTGGTATATCATTTTGTATCTTTAACTATGTGAGTTTGTCTGTGTCTACCTCGTGTTTGTTAAAGATATGTCTTAAATGATTCACTGTTCAACTGTTTGCGTATGGGTTTTATACAAATATTGATATGTTTTCTTTACAAGTCTTTTAATCATAATGCAAACAAAAATAGTGCCTAGGCGTTGGTAAGCCGATACCAGTACAGTTAGCAGTATGGCTAAGTATACGAAAAATTAGCCAAAGAAATAGTCATATTACATAATACATTGGTTGTTTATGATCAGCAGTCGAACTATCTATATAAAAACTTGGTTTGGCTAGACAGTTATAATCTAAGAATTAAGATTGATTTGGAGAACGGTAAAAGCACCCTCTCCCTGTAAAACACTGTAATTAACTATCACATGTAGATAATTCAGTTTATTTTGAATTTCTGCTTCTGATCAAGACTCTTCTGGTATTAAGACGCCAGTAACCCCTTAGAAGCCTGCCTTATTCATATTTTCCCACTTATCTGGATATTGGATAGTAATAGGAATCTTTATTGGGGATAATAGTTAGGTATTCATATAGATGTTATAGTTTTCATTATTTGAACATTCACAAATTTAAGAAGTTTCTGCCAACAATAAAATAGTGAACTTACTCTTTGCAGTCATTACGACTTTCCAAAACTGCACTAGGCGAGACAACAGTCGGCCAAGTAGTGAACCTACTCTCAAACGATGTGAATCGTTTTGACGTGGCGATCATATTCCTCCATTACCTGTGGATCGGTCCACTTGCCACGGTCATAATCACTTACTTCATGTGGATTGAGATCAGCTGGGCCGCTGTCGTCGGGGTAGGAGTCATGCTGGCGTTCATTCCGTTACAAGGTATGTAAATGTAAATAATACCTAGTGTTAATAATTCGGGTAACATAAATTTTTAACTGAACTGTAAAGATTGTACTAGTTAAGGTGATGACCTCACTAATAGTAACACACGAAGTAATGTAATGCTTTAAGTACTTAATCTTTACTAAAATACCTATATCATTGATTTAAGATGTTTATGTATGCACGTTTTTTATACCGTGTTCGTAATATAACACACAAGTCTTAACCATTTGGAAATGGTTTAGACTTGTGTGTTATTTATCAAGAACCCAAGGTTAGTCGCATGTCGATCGATCATATGTAGAAATTTAAGTTAATAAAAACGTTTCTTTCGGTGTTTCGCTTGTAACTACAATAGCAACTAATTAAAAAATGTTAAACACACGGCCTTTCTGCTCAAAAACTAATTAAATAACGTTAAAAATCATAACTGCCGACAGAATTGTATTTGTTATCAAAATAGTTAGCATTTATTTCATTAATTCGGCATTTACAATTTATGGTGAAAGTAAAACTGAAAGAACTATCAAATGTCTCCTTTTGTTAATTGACCTACATTTAATGTCTTATTACACTACCTTGCTTTTCATCATCCTGAGGATCTGGAACATTTGAAGTGAGACAAGATATACATAAACTTAACTATTAACAAAAATAAATACAACGTCAATAGTGCTAACATCATCACACTCACGACAAAGGCATTTATTAACTAACGAAACAATATTGTTTTCACATAGCATATAAGAACAACTATTAATCATCTGCTATCATATAGATGCTCTTACTATCAAAAGTATGGATATGACCAAAAATTCCCGGGAATCGGTACTTTGACCAAAATTTTCCGGGAATTAGAATTCGGAATGATAATGATTCTTGTGCTTCTATGCAATGTTTTTTTCTATATATTTTGGAATTATCTCGAATAATTTCCAATTCAGGATTCCTTTCCATAACTTTCAATTTTATTTTATTTATACTTACAGATGTTTTCCAATTCAATACAGTTCTTAAATTATCGAATGCAAGGAATGCGTCACTGATCGATATAAAACTTTTTTCAAATTCAAGTATTGATCATTTTATAATTTAATAATAATTATCAATTTCTTTTAACTTTGCTTCTAGTTTTCTTTATTTACTACATTGCATTTCTTATTGCTAAGGATTCTGAACTGTTTAAAATACTTAGTACGATGGTGCCTCTAACTAGGCTCATCTAGTAATTACTGGCTGCTGAGGCAGGCAAATCAGGGTATCCTTGATTCTGTTCTGTTCTGAGTTCTGACTCTATTTGGGCCCTTTAAAAATACTTTTTTAACATTTCAAATTAAAACGTCAACGTCTAGATATTCCAGTCTAACCTGCTCTGATACCCTGTGAAGTGCATGAGCCAAACATGTTACATGTTTAATATCAGGAAAAAATATTTTAATCGCCTACAGGCAACCAACATGTAAGACACACTGTCTGTGCATAAAATTAAAATGTTATGTACCTTTACTTCGAATTCGAATGAATTAGACCACGAAGATTCGATGGAGTCAATTACAAATTGGGGTGCAGTTTGACCATTGACTTGTTCAAGTATTTTACATGCAAGTAGATGTGATTATTTTAATACGTTCACATTAATTCGTTCCATTTTTGCTTATGGGCCTAACCAATAAGTTCATTATATTACTATCCAGAAAATCTGTTGTCTCGCCCAAAGATATCTACAATTTCTCATTTGTAATTTTTTGATGTATGGATTTAATTTTGGAATTTAAAACTTCATAAAATCTAAAAAAACCGGTGTTAATAAAGATTCGTCAAGCAACGATTTCGTATCGCTATCACATCTTCAGCAACTAAATTTACAAAAATATTTTTCAAAGAAATATATGAATTCTGGATTATTTACTATTTACTTGTGTCCAGGGAATATTACAAAAGCCTAAAAAAAATTATGACATCAAAATAAAATCGTCCTTTACTCTCCTCTTCTTATTCAATTTACTATTGACGTGCTTTTGAAAAATAGACTTCTTACTTTTAAAGCTGACGTTACACTTGGGGCAAAATATTGCATTTGTATTAGGGTTAAATGTCAGTTCTGGGTGGTCAGCTATCCACTTCAGGATAGTTTCATGCCTCACATTTGCCATGTCTGTGATACCTATAAAACAATAGGTATTAGTAAACAAATGACTTGTTGCAGCCGAACCATAAGCTTCTACGGTACATCCGAAAGAATCAAGGTTAATTATGTCTTATACTTCACCGTAAATCACGGTTTAACTAAAAGATAAATAAATTTATAAGTAGTAAAAAAATTCTTGAAACACAAGCTTTTATTATTGTTCATATTTTTGTCAGCAAAACCTTTTATTTAGTATCTATATCATAAAAGTGCATAAAAAATAACTTGTCTGCCATTTTGGGCATTCCGCCATTTAAATTCGGAATGACGTCATTTAGCTAACAATGTCGTCAACTCAATCTGTTGTTGTTTGTTTAAAATTCAGTTTAAATATTTGACCCTAACAAATATGAATATGAAAGTTTAGAAACAAAAACATTTACAAGGTACCAAGCCCATCGCATCGCTCCGGTGCTGTAAATATTATTTTGTTTATAAAAAAATACTTACTTACCCAAAAGAATAATCCGCTGTCAGATGTCCAACCAGTTGAAAATCGAAGTCCATTTATCCGAATCAAGTGTCTAATGATGTAGATCTAAAATCAAAAAGAAATATTCCATATGCTGTAAGTGAACGTATTAAGTACTGATTTGAATAGAGCACAAGACTTTCAGAGACTAGGGTAGAATTTGTAGCCTAGGAATTACCCTACTGCCATCTAAGCAGACTTACTTAAAGTTAATTCAAAGTTTGCTTAGTAATTCTTCTTCACAAAATACGAAACAATTTACCTAACAAAATTACTTAACAAATGTATCTAGTTCACTTGCAAAGATTAGAATAGTAGAATATTAATCTACTGTTAAAAGAAAGATATTTCTTATCGAGGCACTTTATTTATAAAATAAAATCAATTTCATGTTTAGAATGTTTCAATTATTTTCTGTTGCACTTTTAAGGATGACCCTATCTCTTCATTTGTAAGTCTCTACTGTTTAAATCTAAACGTTTACGAGTAATACTAATGAATAAACGTATTCCTTAAACAAACGCGATTTCCACACATTTAAAATATCAAATATTTTAAGCCTTACCATAATTACCGGAAACAATTACCGCAAACCCGGGAATATCTTCATATCCATACTAGCGATATCGTCTAAAATAGTAACCAAATTCCGATCACTGAGTAATAGTGCCTCGTTTTTTTTAATATTTTATGTCTGTTTGCATTAATTGAATTAGTATATGTATACCAGTTTTAAACGTAAGTATAGTTTAATAACAAATATATATTTACATTTAAAAATGTTTATAATCTAATATTAAATCTATTTGTATCAGCGTACCTGGGTAAGCGCACATCTACACTAAGACTGAAAACAGCGCTGAGAACTGATGAGCGCGTGCGACTAATGAACGAGATCCTCTCCGGTATACAAGTCATCAAAATGTATACCTGGGAAAAACCATTCGCAGACCTCGTAGCGAAAGCAAGGAAGTAAGTCTTCAAACAAATACTTTATTAATTTCTATCGGTTGTACAGGCAAGGTAGGTGTTATGCTATATACCTATACGATACATGTCAAGACACCTATATAATCTTTTGTGGTTTTCATTGTGTTATAAAGTTTTTAGTAACATGATTTAAACGCGACGACAGTATACAAGATTCTTCAAACAAAACAGGCAGGTTGCTGTCCTTGCTACCTTCCTTAAAAAACTGCTAATAACTTTACATTGACTTAACGTTAGTAGACTCACAATGGCTTATTAATCATTATTTATCGATTTTCGAGTCACAACGTTACGCGCGATATTTTCTCCATCGCCAAACATATGCTAAGAGATAAGTAATTCACACGTCCTATCACATGAATCGATGGCTATTCCGTATTTATAGAACCCAAATTTACCCAAATGATGATAATATGACGTGAGTCCTCATGAGTTGGTAATATTTGTTGTTTAATTCAACATTTAGAACGAGTAAATTATTACCTACATACTACAAATTAAATCAAGGTTTGCTTCATCTTTTGTATGTATGTTTGAGTAAGATCTTGAGGTCCTGTTTTCGAGTTTTGTATCAAGTAATTTTTTTTCTGGGTTGTATAAAGTTTTCGTCATTTTGACCGAAAATCGGTAATTTGATGGAAATTATATGCCTCTGTCGAATCCTTTTACAGAATGTGCAGAATTACAATTTATCCATAATGTTTTTTAAATACTAATTAATAGACCCGCCATGAGATAATTTCGTTGCATTGCAACTAAAGAACATGCAACGGTAATTTGAAAATGGCTATCACTTTTGTCCCATGTCAAGAGCTAGGCTATGTCGCAATACTTAAGCTCAGCTTGTCCGTTTGGTGTAATAATTTAAAATATTGGAGAGTACTTGGATAACGTGTTGCTTCTTTATTTTTAAACAAAGCATTTTTTTTTCTTTCTTCAGACGTGAAATCAAACAAATAAGGGCAACGTCCTACATCCGGGGCGTGTTGACATCCTTCATAATGTTCACAACTAGAATCTGCTTATTTTGTTCAATCCTCGCGTACGTGCTCGACAATAACTTTATCAGCGCCAAACAAGTCTTCGTGGTTACTAGTTTTTACAATATATTAAGACAAACTATGACAGTCTTCTTTCCCCAAGGTGAGTGTCTTTTTTGTTTCTACCTATTGGACAATCACTAATTCGTGAACGGCAACTGTAACCGAATATTTTTTTAAGCACAATCAGTAAAAAGTAATGATTTCGTACAAACGATTCAGTATAAAACAATCTTTGAATTAAAAGGAATAACACGTACCTATTTAAAAAAAAAAGTTTTTCCAAAGAAGGGACGACTAGCAGTTCATAACGGTGGTAAAGTGTCCGCCTACCATCAGCCAGGCAGATTAAATATCAAAAATATTCCCCTCTATGCACTAAAATCCATTGAAAAGATCTATGATGGATTTTATGCACTTTCATCTCCACTTTAATACACTCAACAGATTTTTACGAGGAGTGAATCTGTAGAATTATATCGTGCCGGTATAATTTCACTGCACGGGTATCAAGCTCGAAACTTTGTAAGCACAGCGAAGAAGAAATAAATTTAGCAACTGATTAGGATAATAGAATGATAATAATGAATGTTATGGTGAGAATGAAAATAAAAATAACAAAAGCCAAAATTAAGATTATAAAAAGCTTTACTGCACTAAAATTTACAAGTATAAGAATATATATTCAAAGCTATCAGCGCACGCGGCGAGAGTTTAGTCTCAATACCTTAAACACAATCGAAATTATTTGGGATATAGTAAAAGTAAAATCACCATGGATACATAATTACTGCATGTTTGTCTATGTATATGCCGTATATATTCAAAGCTATCAGCGCGCGCGGCAAGAGTCCTGGCCCGAATGATCTAGAAGCGCGTGCGCCGCTGTGTCCTCCAACGCCGTACAAGGGCATTCATTCGTGAACAAGTTGAGTCCTCCATGCGTAAGCGCTTGGTCCAATCTTCACATGCGGAGCGATTCGCTGCAACTCGGCATTGTGAAAGGTGGCGGTTCAATTCTAAAATATTTATACTCGCCACAGATCTTTTAGAATGTACTAGTTTCGAAAAATCCATTATAGGTCAGTGAAAAAAAAGCTTTTTTTCAATTTCTATTGTAATTTTATTGACAGTACAGAAAAATGAATCAATAAAAAAAAAGAAAATGGTCTCAATTTATTTTATAACCTATAAATTTGTTTGTTTCCTTTCTAAGAAAAGCGTTACAGATTTTTCTTCATTAACTAACTGTATTTGGGCATTCATAATGAACTAGTATTTCTTTTCTTAGAGTTATTTTTCTTGCAACTATTCAATTAATATTAGTACATACTTCTTTGACGTATTTCTGTATATCACCAGCTAACTAGTAAAAAGGAAGTTTAAAGGATTTTTTGAAACTTGCATGTCTTAAAAGATCCATTTCTCGTAAAAATCTGTTGAGGGTATTAAAGTGGACACGAAAGTGCACAAAAATCCATCATGGCACTTTTCTCACTTATTCCATTATACAATTTATGTAAAAACAGAGGCGTAAAACTTACACCCAAAATTATGATGTCAAGATGTTTAAGATAGGAAATATTACCTTTACACTTTGCAGGTATCGCACAAGTAGCAGAAGCAACAATATCGATAAAACGGTTACAAAACTTTATGCTGTATGAAGATACAAGCAAGCCCGTGCCCGGCCTAGCAGAAATACAAACATCGACAAAACCTAAAAGCGAAGGTAAAAAAAAAACAGCGGAAGTAATTAAAGAAGAACCTAAGTTTACTGACGACATTACTGCGGATAACGAAGACATAGAAGTTAAAGAAGAGGAGCCCATGGTTAAAGGCAATGGTATGTCAACTACTGTGTAAATTTTGTTTCTTACGTTTTCAGTCTTAATCTACAATTTAAAAATTAAGTAAATAAATTGACTATAGTGAGGAAATAAGCACTCGTCATACAACACAAATCCCTATACCACAATATTTCAAACTATCATAGTACTTGCATAAAAACAAGTGACTCCAGTCTAAATAAACCCTTACAATAATTTTTTATATTTTCTTATTAACAGGTAAAGCAAACACGAATCTAGCGCCACTGGAGTCCGGGGAAGAAGATGACCAGGAAATAGCGGCAAGAGTAGAAGAAGATGCTAGAGGGGTGCGATTAAAACATGCCACTGCAAAGTGGATATCTTCGCATCAAGAGAATACGCTAACAGACCTCTCGCTGACAATCAAACCGGGCAAGTGAGTTGTTACCGCATAGTATTGGTGCAACGCACGCGTTAGTTAGTAACACTTTAAATTAACCTAAAAGACTATATTTCATAGCAATATCCTGGGCAACGAAGTTTTTACTCTTGTTTTGCTTGCTGTTGATTTCTACAATGATGATGATCTACTGAGATGTGAATGGTCACGTGTCGCTGCCTATTCTCCTGATAGCAGCGACTTCTGTTCAGCTCATAACGTAACCGGCAATAGACGAACAGAACTTGATTTATGGTAATGGGTTCTGGCATTAAATTCCGTGGTAAATGTCGCGAAGAATATCCCGATAGCTTTCTAACCTACACCAAAGCTCAAAATTGAAAAGGGTAAATGGGCTAAAAGGTCGTGGATATTAGGCGGTTTTATTCAGCATGATCCGAGCGTAATAACTTCGCCTTATCGCCGTGGGTGTCGTAAGAGCCGACTAAGAGAGCAAACCACGCAGGACAACAGCACTGCAAAGAAAAGGAAACAAACCCTATACTAACCCGTTACCAACATGGCATAATAGGCCAAAACCTTTCTAAGGAGATTTCTATGTCCACTAAGAAAGGCCAGTGGACTACTAAAGGTTGTTGATAGGATGATGATGAAAATAATTATATTTTATATACACACGTGTATGAATGTGTGTGGTCTTGTTAAAATTCTGTAAATTTTATGTGAAGGTCGATTTATAAGAACAGTGCGAAACAATGGAGCATAAAATCACACACTCAACATTGTAGAAGCGTTTAGTATTGGATCTGATACTATCATTATGTTGTTAAGTTGATGCTATGAATGGAATTTAAAGACATGTCACATAAAAGAAGTTAATATGTTTCTATGGTTCTGATTTTTCATAATTATTTCTTGGTATTTTACAAATATACTTGTAAAGAGAACATCACTTTTATTCTTTGTAATTCACATAAAGATTTGTTTCTTTTTATGGCATAATTTGTAACATCAGCTGACCTGTCTACAAGGTCACCTAATGTTACGTGAATATCCATGGACCCCTGTGATAACTCATGAGGTACAAGTTCATTTGCCACTCATTACGTCTTTATTTATATTATTACGGGTTTATATTATTACCGTGGTACCATTCCAGTGGAGCTCCCACGGAAGATTTGAGGTACAAGATTTAGGAATTAAATCTACAAATACCGCAATAAATGGATTATAATGATGTCAAAAAAAAAATCTTCTTGAAGCCTTGGACCGTTTTAAGTCTTCTTAAAAAATCCGGGACATTGATGCTATCTCTTGAGCATCTGTTTGTATGAGTAAGTAAAGTAAAGTAAAGTTGTATCATTCCAGAATTATTGCAGTCATTGGGCCAGTTGGAGCAGGGAAATCATCACTGTTACATGTATTGCTGCGTGAGCTTCCTCTTATATCCGGTTCTTTACACGTTGGCGGCACGGTCTCGTATGCCAGTCAGGAACCTTGGCTATTCGCAGGTACAGTCATTCGAACTCAATCGCCCTCACTATTTCTCGCTATTTTCTTGTTCCCTTTCTGTGGTTTTTTAATCTTTTACATAATAAGCTCTTGAAAAGAACGAATCTAGAGGAGGAGGGGGGGGGGGGCTTTTTGTTTACGCCGTAACCTTTCCCAGGAGAGGTTATCTTGACGGGATCGTGATAAAATGTAAGTTAGCAGTAACCTTAATAGAACATAGGTTCCATTTCATTGTCAATAATAATGTAATAAAACAGTATCTGATTATTTGTTCTCGAAAACATTCAGTCGAAATTTGGGGGGTACGTAGCTGTAGAGGAAAACGGTCTTGACGAGGAGCCGTCCTAAGTCCTTGTCGCCTCCAAACGGAATAAATCCAATGATTCAGTCGAAATAAAAAAAGAAATGTAAAATTTAATAGATAGTAGTTACTTATAGGCAGCGTGAGACAGAACATTCTGTTCGGTCAGGCGATGGACCGCCCGCGGTACAACACGGTGGTGCGGCGGTGCGCGCTGGACCGCGACTTTACTTTATTCCCGCACGGAGACAAGACCATCGTCGGAGAGAGGGGCGTTAGTCTCAGCGGAGGTAAGATACTGTTTCAACATTAATTTTCAAAGCTTCGATCTTACTTTATACTGTTTTTTTTTTTAATTAAGAACTACAGTATATTCGTACAAATATTCAATATAATTAGTGTGTTGACGGATTAAGAATACGGAGTGTCACCACCTCTATTCATCTCGTGGGTGTCGTAGAGCCGACTAAGGTAGCAGAGAGAAGAAAAATTTGAAACAAACCCTGTAACAACCCGTCTGGCTAGCGTGGTATAGTAGGCCAAAACCCCCTTTCTAAGGAGAGGCTTAGGTATAGCGGTGGACAAATTGAGGCTGTTGATGATCATTCAATATACATCCCTACTAATATTATACATGTAAATGTAACTCAGTCTGTCTGTTACGCTTTCACGGCTAAACCGGTAAACCAAATTAAATGAAATTCGGGATGGAGATATGTAATTGTTGAGGAAAGACATAGGCCACTTTTTACACGTAGACGTAACCAACATACACGCGGGCGGGGCCACGGGAAGAAGTAAATATTTTATAAAGCTTGAACTATTTCGTATTTGTTCCTATAGGTCAACGCGCTCGTATATCGCTGGCCCGCGCCGTGTACAAGCGAGCGGACATCTACCTACTAGACGACCCGCTCTCGGCAGTGGACGCGCACGTCGGCCGCCATTTGTTCGAGTCATGTTTAGTCGGATACCTCCGCAACACCACCCGGATACTCGTCACACATCAGCTGCAGTTTCTTAGAGACGTTGATCAAGTAAATATTTTATTCATTTTAGTTTCAAGTCATCATCATCCTTTTACCTTTGAACCAATTTTATTTGGGGTCGGCGAAATGAGTTTTTTCCATTCTTCTCTATCATTTGTCAGATCACTGCTTGCTCCCTTCCTAGCCATATCTTCTTTTACGCAGTCCAACCATCTTTCTTTGATTTTCGACTAATATGTTCATTCAACTATAAAACTAATGCAAATACTAATCTATCTTCTGATCAATCGATCACTATTTTATGGATACGTCCATATGAAAAGCGCTATTTACCAATTTTTATTCGCTAGTGTTGCATATATTAGACAAAAATAAGATGCACTTTATTAAATTCACTGCTTTTTTTACAGATCGTAATTCTAAAAAATGGTTCTATAGCAGCGGCAGGCAACTTTGACACGTTAAGCGCGTCAGGGTTAGACTTCGCCAAGTTGTTAGCTCGCGAAGAGGAAGAAGATAAGCCAGCCACCGAGCCTAGCGTTACCGAAACTGACAGCGAGTCTGTACTACACGGCAGCTTTAGGAAACGTCAGATGAGTATACACTCGGTAAGTACAATTTACACAGTTATAAACAATATATATATATAGAATTAAGTTAAGCTTGCCTACTAGCAAGCCCATGATGCCGAATGGGGATTTACTCGATCGTCATGGGGACCAATTGCATTTGAAAGATTAGGTAACAGAATGAATAAAAATTATTGATTGTTTTTACTTTTTATGTTTTCAAAAGTGTAAGGGGAGAAAATAAAACAAAAATCGGGCGCATCAGATATTTTAGGGATATATTATTTGGACGCCAAAACTGCTCCAATTGAAAGGTCTGACGATTTTAAAGTGACACAAACCTGCAGCGAAATATCTAAAAAGGAAACTACAAATTCAAAAAATCGCCATTTCGAAATGTCAAGTTCTTATTTTTTTGGACCTAATTTGTGATCCACACACTGCTTTATGTCACGCTCAAATCGTCAGTTAAATACACTCTAATGTGTATGTAATCGACTGAATTACCTTACTTATATATATATATATATAGAGAATAATTTACTTTAACCTTACACGCTCGAATATTTCTGGCTATCGATTTTTTTTAACTACTCTGATGGACTGCCCTGGACGCTCCCCCCTATATGTAGGTGTAAATACGCTCCCCCCTATACGCGTAAGTGATATTTCATGGGAAAATAATTTAATTTAAATTTTTGTGCGTTTGTCTCTGCTCTGATTGTAACAGATCGTTGGGAGTCCCAGTTCATCTGTATCGCTATTATTATCCGTATTGCTCTTACTTATTGCCCGTTTAAAATTCTTCGACTCTATTATATAAGTAGGCAAAGACAACACGATGCAGTTGTCCGTCGTCGACGACGACGAGGTTCTAATCGGTAGCCGTCATCGAGCTTTACATGCTGTTCGATCTCGGTGTATGAAGTTTCAAATTATAAACGAGTTTAGTCATCATCATCGTCATCGGCCTATCGCAGTCCACCGCTGGACATAGACCTCTCGTAACGAGTCGAGTGCGTGTACGTAACGAAGGTGTGCGTGCGGCAGGTGAGCTCGGTGGACAACCTGACGGCCACGGCGCCGCCCGAGAGCGGGCGCGTGGAGGCGGAGGCGCGCAGCGCGGGCGCGGTGGGCGCGGCCGTGTACGGCGCCTACCTGCGCGCCGCCGGACACCCGCTCGCCGTGCTGCTCATGCTGCTCGTGGCCACGCTCGCGCAGGTGCTGGGCTCCTCCTCCGACTGGTGGACCAGCTACTGGTTTGTAAGCGATGTATTTTGATGCCGCTCGAGCCGCTCCGATCGGACGCTTAATGCACGAAATGCGACGAAGCCTATTTGACGGATTCCTATTTTTTCTCGTGCGACTACTTATACAAAGAAAGTATGATTTGAGACCTCACCGATAATCTCTTCGATTAGTTTTCTATTTTTTTAAATCTGATAATACCTGATGTAATGACTAATTATATTTTCTTATAAAAATGTAATATGATGTAGTTTATAATTGTTTTATCATCAAACAAACTCATAAGCGCTGTAACAAAAATTGTGTTTAAAATTTTTTAATAATTAAAATTCGATTCTGTTAAAAAGTCGATTAAAGAGTAAACTAAATAAGCTCCTTCACTGTTAAGTCTGCACGGATAATTCTATATAAACTTTAACCAACTATCTTTTTAGGGTAACCCTTGAAGAAAATAACCTATCTACCAGAGTGATGTACAATTTGACTAGCCGCTTTCAAAATGAAAACTTCAAGGACACTGACCTCAACAGATACGATTGTATATATATTTATAGTGGTGAGACTTTTTTATTGCTTTAAATTAATAATTTCAATAAACGGACCAGTTTAATTAGAACCCAGAGTCTACTAATCGTACCTCTTAATTCAACATAAATGACCCATTCGTTTACCTTGATTAGCTGTATAGGCTATATATTTTGTTCATTTTCAGGTATGGTGATAGCCCTAGTGGTAGTGTCTCTATTGCGGTCATTCATGTTCTTCTCAATGGCGATGCGCGCGTCCACGAGACTGCACAACAATATGTTTGCGTCCATAACCCGAGCACCGATGAGATTCTTCCATATGAATCCATCTGGCAGAATCCTGAATAGATTCTCTAAAGATATGGGGTCTGTTGATGAAGTGCTGCCATCTGCGTTGCTCGATGTGTTACAAGTAAGTAGTTTCTAAGCTACATTTTATATTTGGACTGTGACGTCCGCTGCTGAAATAATTCCTCTGTTTAGTGTATCCGTGTAATATATTTTCTGTTTTATAATATCGTAGAACAAATTTCAAATATCTATGTTTCTGTGTTTTTTACTTATACTAAATAATAATACTGGACTTTAAGCATTTGTTTGTAAACCTCCTGAAGTACAAAATTGAAATAATTCTGTTTTGTTACAGATTGGCCTCTCCCTCATCGGTATCGTGGTCGTAGTAGGGATAGTAAACTACTGGCTGTTATTACCAACTGTTGCAATCGGGTTCGTCTTTTACGGGCTGCGCATTTTCTATATATCCTCCTCCCGCAGCATCAAGCGCCTCGAGGGTGTGAGTGAGTGAGATATAACCCTGCCACGGGATTTTTTTACTAGATTATACTGTGACCGCTAATAATGTACTGTGTCTTGACAGTGACTATAGTAACTAATATAATTACATTCAAAGCAATGACAGTTTATTCTTGAACCGACTAACTTTACTGAATGTATGTAAATTCAAAGCGGAATTAATTTGCTGAAAAGTCCGAATGTTTATGTTTGAATTAAAAGATGCTGAAAAAGGGGCCTGTTCTCAGGATCTTTTACAAGGCAGTTGTATTGCCAGGTTGCAAACTACCACAGTTCCCAGTTAAAGCTAGTATTTTAAATGAATTATAATTTATTATGTTTAACTGTTCTTCATAGCTCGCAGTCCAGTGTTCTCTCACCTGAACGCGTCGCTCCAGGGCATCACTACGATCAGAGCGTTCGGCGCGCAAGAGGCTCTCATCAGGGAGTTCGACAACCATCAGGACTTGCACAGCTCCGCCTGGTGAGTAACTACTAAAACCCAGATGTGTGTTTGCAATGTGTATTTATTATATTTTTTAAAAACATGTTCATTTGTTATTGTTACAAGTTTAACCAAAAAAAATGTATCAAAAGTTGAAGTTTCTGACAAAAAATCCAACAATTATGAGTTTAAAATAATAAACTGAATCAAGTCTTTCGGATTTCGGTTCAACATCTTTTGTACCATGTTACCTATAATCTTTTTCTTAAATTAAAAATAATGTGTTCTCATTAACTACATTTGCCAAGTATTGTAATAAATCTTATATCAAATAAAACATTTAACTTCAGTATAAAGTCAGTGGCTTAGCCTTAAATCTTAACTTTAATTAAATTGAGCTATGACTATGACTAAGAGAAGCTGCTTTAGTATAAAATGAATGAAAATTTCAATTTTCTTTGGATCGCTATTCATAGACTTTCCATGACTTCTTTATAAAGATAAAGGTTTTACATAACATTTAATTCTTTTAATATTTTTTTTTTATTTTCAGGTATTTGTTTATTGCTAGTTCAAGAGCGTTTGGGTTTTGGCTGGATCTTGTATGCGTGATTTACATCGCTGTTGTTACACTTAGCTTCCTCGTTTTGGGAAACAGTAAGCTTTGCCATTTTTATTTTTTACGATTAACTTTTTGATGTATAACATTTTTCCTTTCTCTTTCCTAAATTCGTTAAAGGGGACGGAAGTGTGTAACAGGAAGTCAGTGAAGCGCACGCTATTTGATTTGACCAATGAGCTAATTGTCACATGTTACACTTCAAATGTGTTTACTGTAAGGCTAGCTTGTTTTTTTTTATAACTTATTGCAATTTAGAACAGTTAAAGTTTTATTTGAATTAAAAATTGTAAAAATGACTGTAATACAAATATTCTTTTCTGTGTCAGAGCATCCCTTGTGTCTTGACTCTATATGTTTACATTACGCGAGGGCGGGAGCAAAGTGAGCGAGATTATAATGTAAATCGGTTTGTCCTCAGATGAGTACGGTGGTAATGTTGGTTTAGCTATCACTCAAGCCATGGGCCTTACCGGAATGTTCCAGTGGGGTATGAGGCAATCCACGGAATTAGAAAATCAAATGACCAGTATTGAAAGGTATATTTGCTGCTTGTACTATTATTATAACTAGAACTACTTTGGTAAATACTTTTTTAATAAATACATTTTTTTAAACAGAATTCAAGAATATTCAAATATCGAATCAGAACCGCCTCTGCAGTCAGCACCGGAAAAGAAACCTCCTCCATCTTGGCCCGAGGCGGGTCGGTTGGAATTCAAGCACGTATACTTGTATTATACGCCCTCTGAACCACCCGTTCTCAACGACCTTTCATTCGAAGTACAGCCACAAGAAAAAGTTGGCATCGTGGGCAGAACAGGAGCTGGGAAGTCGTCACTCATTAATGCTTTGTTCAGGTAATAACATAATCGATCTAGAAAACCGTCAAATCTAATCGTCTAGGTTTATTTTTATTCATCTAGTACTAGTTTTGTAAAAGACTCAAGCTTTTGGGTGTTCATTTCGAAACTTACGACTCGTTAGTTTTACGAGTCCGAGTTCTTTGTTCATTTTCGAATCTTCTGAGTCCTTTCGAGTCTTTTAAGTTCTTTGAGCTGGACTGAGTCATAAACAGACTTTATATCGTCTTCCATACTTATTTATTCGCGTCTGAAGAATATTTAGTAACAGTAGTTGACCACGATAACCAATAACCACTTCAGCGATTTAAAAACAGTTCAAGTTTTATTAAATAAGTCTCCAGTTTCTTACAACACTATCCTAGTACACTAAGATGACTGATACATACATATGTTTAGTAAGCTTCCGAAAAAGTTGAAAACACTTGCAAGATCTGGAGATTTATGAACTTATTCTTCAAAAAAATTGATTTAATGTTCTATACGATCCGATTCCAAAGCTTTCTTAAACGACATCGTTTTTTTTTTGTTAATCTTTATTTATTTAGAGGCTGACATCGAATTGAATTGGATGAATTGTAATACATACTATTTTTACGGCCAGGCTAGCAACAATTGAGGGAGACATCATAATAGATGGCCGTGAAACGTCACAGCTTGGTTTGCATGAACTACGCAGTCAGATTTCAATCATCCCTCAAGAACCCGTTCTATTCTCCGGCACCATGCGACATAACCTTGACCCCTTCGATGAATATCCAGATCAGGTTCTGTGGCGGGCGCTTGAAGAGGTAATTCTAAAAGTTTTCATACTTCTAACACGATACTAGAAAATATTATGGCTATGACTACTTTCGGTTTTAGATGTATAAATATAATAATACTAATATAAATATATACTGATGAATGAAATTCACATTTAATTTGCTGCACAAAACACTATCATAAACGATGTAACTTTTGACGTGTTTTGATTTGATGATTTGATAGAATCAATAATAAGAAGTAATTTATCCCTACGTAATTTTTAGACGTTTAACTAGAAGGAACTTTAAATCTTATTACAATATTAACATTTTTAATTATTGTTATTATTTTAATATTACCCTATTTGTCACAATTGCACAATATACTGGTAGCAAACTATCATAAGGGTACGATTGCGAGTTTTAATTTAGATTTTTAGGAGCACTTTATTATTGTTTGATATAATGCAGGTGGAGTTGAAGGAAGCCGTGCAGGAGCTGCCGGCGGGCCTGTCGTCGCGCATGTCGGAGGGCGGCGGCAACTTCAGCGTGGGACAGAGACAGCTCGTGTGTCTCGCTCGCGCCATCGTGCGCCGCAACAGGCTGCTCGTGCTCGACGAGGCCACGGCTAATGTCGACCCTCAGTACGTTTCCATCTGTTACGTTACGTACCGCAACGCTCATGTACTACAACTTTAATACAATGTGAAAACGCTGTTCAATCACATCGTTATAAAATTATACAATGCTCCTTAATTCTTACTTCCTAAGTTCTCTAAACTTCTTGAATAAAATTTTTATTCTATTTTCAACACGGTATTCTAAGTTTCATTAAATAACCACTGTCCAGTTGATTGTTTTATAAGAGGCATTACAGTAATAAACAAAGGAAGTTTTCCTCTCAATTTTTCTTAAACTTAGTAAATTGTGATTAAAAATAAGTAAATACCCTTTTATTACAGAACTGATGCTTTAATTCAAACGACAATAAGAAACAAATTCGCCAAGTGCACAGTGCTCACAATTGCTCATCGGTTGCACACCGTCATGGATTCGGATAAGGTAACGCAATGTTTACATGTCATTCTGTGGATGCTCCTTCTAAGGATCCGCGCAGACCGAGAGGAATACCGAGGAGACCGCGGTCTCGGGCATTTTATCGACGTTGCGCGGATCGCTTACAATAAAGCTCATATTTTATGTTGTCATCAAACATGTATGCACTTTTTAGCAGTAGTTTTAAAGTTGGTTTTCGATTGTCTTTAAAAAATCGTCTCCGCTGCGCTCCTCTCGGTCTGCGTTGGCGCAAAACAGGTGCAATACGGTAGGTAACTGTCAAGTCAGAGTTTGGACATACATGTATAAAATACTAACATGCGACGTAATAATTTGATATCGTGAAATCATATATTATTTTGTTTTTAATTTACAAATGATGATAAACATAAAAATATTTATTAATTAAAACTCTGAATTTCATTTGTTGGTTCGTTTATCGTTTCGATTCATCTTTTTATAATTCACACCTAGTGTAAAGAAAAGACTCGAGAAAAATAATACTTCTGTGAGATGATAGAAATTGAATTGCAATTAGAACAGAAGAGATACATTGGAAAGTTTACCGGCAGGTATAGACAGAAAAATCCAACTATTATTACCAGTAGAGTTATATGACAGTACTAGGGTATAGAACAGGCACATATAAAGGGTTTTCCAACAAAAGGTGTTCACCTCTTATTGGAAAACCCTTTATATATAGCTACCTTTTTTTTTAACAAGAGCTATTTTTATATGCAAGTTCACTTAGTAGAGCGCAACAAAGAAGAACGGCATATATAAATATATATATATATATATATATATATATACACACGGTGATTTTTTAGGCGTTTTGGAAACGAAACATTTTAATTTGGAATCATCTATAGTACCAATAAAAATGATTAAATCAATTGTAATGTTGTCTAAAAAAAAGTTTCAGTTTTAATATTCATTTTTACTCGATCGACTTGGAAAGTAGTAATGGACTGATTATTCATTCATTATCTTATATGAATGAAACACGTCCGTGCGTTTCGGCGGCCGCTGCGCACCGCTGACGCTAACAGCAGCTGATAAAGGTACACCTATAGGCGCGAGCTAGCGAGTACTTACGTAGATAGACTCCAATTTGTCCTTCATACTTTACACGGGCTTAGGATCGTCGGAAATACCTATTTTATTTAAACTTCTTTTCGATTATTAACCACGATTGTTCTTTTCACAACAAATCAATTTATCAACGGACTGTAGGTATAAATATTTCAAGCGTATTTAAAAAATCGGAGCTTTCTACAGAATAATTAACTTACATACCTATTTACACTATTTACACTTCTCTGTATCGAAGCAACTGCTCAAAATGGAGTCCGCTGCATTCAATACACAAACGTCCACGTTTAATGCAATTGTTTTTTAATTTTCTTAATGTGTCTCTATCACTTTTCACTTAATCAAAAGCGTCCACTATCGCAATGCGTAAATTATCACGGTTTTCATATTCCCGTGTATAAACAAGTATTTTTATTTCCGACCATAAGAAAACTCCCTAAAGAACACTGGCCCTCCTCGACCTATCCACCGATCACTTCACTCATTGTCCAGGTATGCACGCACTACACTCCGGCGAATAATAATTTAAACGTCCTTGACCTTGCGCGTGAGCGCGCGACCTTTATGTGACTCGATATTAAAACGCATAGTATTTCTATTCGTAGTATTTACCTACTTGCGATTGAAAAGCCCTACTACTGGTTTCTTCTTTTCTCTGTAATCGATATGAATATCGACTTTGATGATAAAAAATATATATATTTTATTAAATTAACGTTATATATAGCTTCTGTTACTGATAAATAACTCAAAATTTTCTTTTCCAAAACGCTTTCAAAATCACCGTGTATATATATAAATATATATAAATATATATATATATATATATATATATATATATATATATATATATATATATATATAATAGTATATATATATATAATAGTATATATTATATTTTCAGAACTTTTTTATTTGCTATAAGTAAATAAATTCTTCTCAAAGAATTGTTACAACTGCAATAACTAAACGTTTAAATGTTGTTAATAAAACGCATTCGTACGTTTTCTAAACTTGACATGCATAAAATTTAAATTACATAAAAAACGATATGTTTACATCCAAATTATTGAATGAGCTCACTAGTGTATTTAGCAGTTACTAACAAACATTTCTTTATTAATAATGTTGACTACAGATTAGTCGAAGTCATAATGAAATGATTATTATAAATCAATTAATTTAAGAAAAGGTACTAATACCTTTTATTCAAATCGATTAGATTAGTCGTGAACATTATGTAAAAAAGGTAATTAAAGTGATTTGACAGGACAACATTTTATTGACGGAATGATTTTGAAAGAACAAGTATGTTGTTAACTTGTTGACAGCCTTGACAACTCATTTGTGACAGCCAGCTGTCATTAGTATCGACTTCAGTACAGCCTATACGCAAACTACAAACTGAAATAACTTTTGAACGCAAAGTTATAAAAATCTGGTAATTAAAACTGTAATTGTTGATGGTATTACCAGTCAAATAAATACAACTATTCCTACCATAAGATACGCAAGGCGATACTAAAGTCTCATACGTGTCATAGTCCATTGTCCTTTAGTAAGTTAGTAGAACGCAACAATTGAAGATCATCACAGGTAATAAAAAGTCTAAACAGTTTGAACGCTACATAAAATGATGACTAGTAATGCTTTAACTATCGGTTACTCTTTGTTTCCAGGTGTTAGTGATGGACGCTGGTCGCATGGTAGAATATGACCATCCGCACAATTTGCTGCAGAAACCGGAGGGAGTGTTGCGCGCCATGGTCGACCAGACCGGCCGCGCCACCGCAGAGACACTCGCTAGAGTCGCGCTACAGGTATACAATGTGCTTGTATTGAAGAAATTACGCCGTGGGCAACTATTGCCTTTGTTAATTAGACTTTACTAATTATCATAATTATCAAATTAACAGGATTGCTAAACTATTCTAATCGTTGACATCATATTTTTTTTTAAATATAACTGATCATTTATTATATACTAATATAATTCGCCTGCATCATGATGTACTGCAATACACGGAATTGTTCATTGCATAATTTTTTGTCTATTATGGGATCAAGCGGGTAGCATAAGGCTTTTAAATAAAAAAGAATATTGAAAATCAGTTCATAAATAATCGAGTGACCGTCCGTTCTGCAGTCGTTTTATGTGTGATTATAATAAAAAATTAAATGCCTTTTAAAGAACTTCGTCATATGCATCAGTTTGTTCGTATCTTCACTTCCTGACTAATATTGTACGAATCAAATTATACGGGGTGTAAATAGGATATTCAGACCATAATTCTGAGTCGAAAATCATAGGATTTTTTTAATCGCACTAGAGTAATAACTACATTTGTATTCCATGCAAACAGTCTACGCACACTTACACAAGTTGACGGCCGAGGGGAGGCTCCGCGCTTTTCGTCTGTTTGATTATTTACATTGCAGTTTTTGACCGTATGCGGTATTTATTAAAAAATAGGTAAAATGTTCTGTTTTATGAATTTTCCGGAAAAAAATACCCATGATTTTTGACTCAGAATGATGATCTGAATACACTATTTCAGTATTCGTTACACCGTCAAATGTAAATACGAAAATACATTGTGGCTGTGTATCTGTGCATGTGTCCTAATAAGATTTTGGTTTTTATTGACAGGCATATGAAAATCAACAGAAGCAGTCAGCGGGTCCTTCCGTTTGATATACGATAGTATAATTATAGGGTCTAAATAAATTGTTCCTACAGTCGAGTCGTGCAAAGGATCTGCAGATCAAATAAATGTGCGCGACGTTCGCGCTTTACACTTGCTAATCTTCCAGATAAGTGAAATAATTATTTATAATTTGTAACGTTGTATTGATTTTGTTGAATGATAAAAAAGCTTGTGTGATGACACGACGTCCAACTGTTGCTTTGCTGGTATCACAAACACACTTTCGATTCTTACCAAACACGCAACTTTTTATATTTCAATTTACTGTAATTCATTCAGTAAATTAAAAGCCACCTCTCAGTACTACAGCGTTTACTACAATTAGTGTTACGAAGCGTTTTTACAACTTGAAATTATAGTATAATTGCAATACCAGACTAATGTCACTTTAAATGTTGAATAATATGTTGTAAAGAATTCGCATGGTGGCTTATACACTGTTTAGTATGGTCCTAGGCCTCGATGTTAATGAATTTATCGATAACATCACAACAGTGCATAGCGGAGTGCCTCAAGCGCCTGAAATATAAATACCTCGGAGTCCAATTACTTTGAACGAATTATAAAAACCAACTGGACTGTTAATGCCACAGTCCAGTTGGTTTTATAATAAGTAGGGTTGGTAAAACCAAGTTTACTCTTAAGAATTCATTGCTGTATATTTACCTATCTTTAAATAAATTTATGTTGAAACAAATAATGAAATCTAAATAATCATTTTCTTTTAAAATCTTTTCATGAAAGTATTCTGTATGATCAAATGAAAAGTATTAAGAATCAAAACTATTATTAGCACAAGGTATTTCACGCTTACTCTGTAGCCTTTCATGTTTTCGTAAATTATAAAGTAATGCTCAGAGATTTATAAAGAGTATTTCTCCTCCAGGAATGGATTTTGCAATCGCTTCTATTTTGCAATTAAAATATTATTGCGTCACTGGGTATAGGTCTTAGTTATTTTACTTCACATCTTTCCTTCGCATTTTTGCTACCAGTTCATTACTTTCAAGAGTTATTTTTTAAAGTAATAATTATATTTTTTTGAGTATATGAAATGGAAATAAAATATTGCAATGAAAACCACTATTATATCCATAAACCTTAAGTGAGGGTTTTACATACAAAGTAATCGGATTTCAAATTCACATTCCGAGGCACTCACAGTATTGTGGTCTATATTTTACTGTGGCAATGTATAACGTTTGTTTCTCTCCAGTATATCGTTATTGTCGTGTATCGTGGCCATGTCAACAGAGTAAAGTAAAGTATACGCTAAAGTTACACATTGCCACCTTAAAATGTATAAACTATAAACGTGTTTAGTAGTGAAATATTTTAAGAATAACTTAACTATAATGTGACTTAGCTGGTATGGATTTTATAAACGACAAGTGAGTTTTACAAATTAGTTTAGTTAATAACAATTTGCGTTTACGAGAGTTCGCCATCATTTGAATAATTCGTGTATGCATTTGAAATCAACGCCAAATAAAATCTCGAATATCGTAATCATGAATAATATTTAGAATAAATTATTGGTCCAATAATGTTCAAGTTACGTCGATTAGCTAAAGGGTGCTAGTAGTTGCAATTTTGTACTTAATCCCCGCAGATTACAGACGATCTTGGGGCGTGAAAAGCACTTAATGTTATGTACTTATTGTAATCGTGTAATATTACTATGTTAGATGAGATACTTAAAGGATCGACCAACAAATGTGCTTAGTTTTGAGATCTTATATTATTATTATGTATAATATTAATATTATTCATTGTTTGTATTATGAATACTTAATTGTTAATTTGAATGTGATTAATTTATATACCGATATTTATGAAACTCAAGCGAAGAAATTTAATATTGACAGGCTGCTAATATAAGCTTTTATCTAAAGTTAAATTGTGTAAAGGTTACCTATTGTTGGGAAAGCTAGACTGGCCATGAATTATCTGTTAAATAAAATGTTACATCAGTGTGAAATTGTTACTTGTTGTTTATTTACAACAAAAATAAAACAATTTGTACGTATTGATGGCTTTGTTTTATTTATGTACAAAATAAGAAACATTGTTTAAGTAGTTAACCTCTTTGAAACAATAACATGGATTGTTCTAACCCATACTCCAAGGAATGTATTGAATATCCTATAATACTTATTTTCACAAAACGTAAACTTTGCTAAGCTTGCAAATCTAACCTAACACATTATTTAAAAATACTCTTGTTTATAATAATATTTACACCAAAATACTTAAACACACTAATTCGATAAATGTAAAAAATAAGATCATAAAGCCCGTAGTGTAAAAAACGACAAACTATAATAGGATATTATGGTCATTTTTAAAAGCGTCAATTTAAAATACTTTTATTCAGTCTATAAGTGCCATAAAAATGCATTAAATTTTAAATTTTCAAATTTCGTAATTTCACAAAAAGCAGTGGAGGACGCAAATTGCTCTGTCGTCATACGTCAGTCGGCTGTGTAAACAAATGTGCGATATATTTTTGTTAATAATTTAAAATATAGTTATTATTCTGCTTACCATTGGCGCTGAATTAAGAAATACTAGTGTAAAAACATCGGACAGATTGGATCCAAATGACACATTTTTTATTATACAGCCGTATGATGTTATAACATGGCAGCCACTATTTGTTGGTGTAATAAAACAGATTAAAAAACAAAAATTTTGAACTGAATTTTAAAATTTATTTTATGAACTAATACTGATATTTTTCGGCTGCATTTTGCCTAAGCTTCTTATATACTACGGACTCTATCAACAATACACTTCATTATCACAGAACCCTGAATCGTCACTCCGCAACATACCACACACCGTTCTTTACAAACATAAATTACAACACTAAAAAACATAAATTAGTATTTGACAAGCTAAATTAAACGTACTTACGAACGCAGACAATCTGCATTCCAAAATGATGAAACGAAAGACATAGATAAATAGCAAGTGAAAAAAAGATAAATAAAATAAATAGGGGAGTACAATCGCGAGCTTAAAATCAAATTGTCATGATAGTTTCCCTTTGGCACAAGAGAAATGTTGAAATGAATCGTTATAGTTATCAGACAAAAGACAAAGATACTGAGATCTTAGAAAACTGTGTACAAGTTTCAAATGGACTTACAATCTAGCTGCGTAATGTGATACTTGAATGTTACAAATAGCTATAACTACTCACAGTCTTCGTACGAATGGGCAGCACAAGTGTGATTGTTCATACAGTTACAGAACAGTGAGACACCGTCATCAACTCATCTACAAACTCGTTACAAAAAAAAATAAGTACCAGCGATATAATCGATAAACTCGGACCTTTTGGCCACACACTAAACTGACACAGTCCACACGATTGCGCTGCCGGAGACTCGAGGCCGAGGAAGGCGACGAGTTACACGAGTGCCGTTAAACTTCCGGAGCGGGAGTTCTTTATTTCCTCGGCGTCACACGGGTTTGGTTTCGACTGGAAAGATAATAGAAGGATTACTTTCAAAATACAAACAAACAAGGTTTTTATATAAGAGTTGATGATAAAAACTTAGAAGTTATATCTACCATTCACCTTTAATGTGAATCTAATCTTTCTTAATATAAAAGTCGCGTTCTTCAGCCATAGTAGATCATCTAATTCTGTCATTGTACTATTAGAACGAACGTCCCGTGTTACATTAGGTTGATATTGAGGACTCGATGTTTCTAAGAAAGGGAGTAAACTCATCGAAATCGATAGGGTCCTGGTAGAATTGGATTCGGTCCAACCAGCTGGGTCGAGAAAAGAAAAAATATTTGCCTTTTTAAATGATGATTATATCAATTATAAATATTGGTTAGTTAAATGAGAAAAGCAAGGAGGATCGGCTCTCGCAAATGATAGGTTAGTATCGTGGGCGAGGTGGCAATAAGAGGTTGGAGATGCTCACGACTACATGTGCACACTAACTTCAGTGTTGCGGCGCGGGCGCTGCGCGGGCGGCGGCAGCGGCAGCGCGAGGCGCAGCGCCGTCCAGAAGGCGCGCTCGTGCACGTGGCGCCACGCCACCAGCCGCGTGCCGCGCAGCGTCGACACCAGGCTCTCGCCGCCCTCCTTCGCTTCCCGCTTCAGCTTCGGTAGGTCCTGCAATACGATCGCGACTATTAGCCGAACAGTTTTTCGTACCTAACGACGAAGGTGTTCTATAAAAGCTATTATGCCATACGGCCGATCGACATTGATGGAGGTAAATTCTATACTTATTTTTAACAATGGTTAATTCGCTCAATTTTAATTCTTCAGATATTTTCAGCCGTTAGGTACGTAAATAAATAAAACAGTTTTGAAATCACTTTTAAATCTTGTCAAAACTTGAAAGCAATCCACTGCACGGATGACGTAGTAGTTTAAGCGGTCCCCAAGCTCTTAGTTCTACGCTGAGTGTTGTGGGTTCGATCGATTACACTTGACATTTTAAACGTTTTAGATTATAATAAAGGTATCGGTCGGTCGCGTATGGCCTCTAATAAGTACAAATGCGAGTACAACTAAAAACCCTTAGCATCCTCTGAAAGAAATGAGTGGAAACAATTTTATTCCTTTCGAGTTTTACCAAGACGACCTTGAAATTGGACTGTATACATAACTTAGTATTTGAAGTAGGTCCATTATACCTTTTCAATCGATAAATTATATGATCAAATAAAAGCCACATTCAGTCATTTGTGCCCTTCTGATCTTTTATAATTAGTTAGATGCTCGTATTACGTACTACCACAGAAAAAATGGCTCAGTTGTGCCCTTTGAGCTTAACGTACTTTTGTTTATCGTCTTTGTAAAATTATAGAAAAAAATATTGGCAGATACGCCTTTTATCTGATTTCAAACGTGTAACAATTTCATAAAATAACCACATGTAACAATTTCGAAACAACATGTTAGTTTTGCCGTTTTTCCTTCAGACGGCAGTATAGGTAAGCATATGTTACGTACGAACCTCTTTAGTTAATGACTCAATTCTATTTTAACGACTAAACGGTAAATTTAATTAATTACAGGTATTTGGGGAAACACAGTTTTTAAAAGTCGAGATTTGCGGTTTACCTTACTACGTCTATATAGTTATCATGTAATTACGACTGGCTGCAGCTACATTATTATATTTAAAGAGATAAGAGAGATAAGAGAGAGATAAGAGATTAAATCACATGAAACAGATAATGTGTTGATAAGAAAAATACTAAGGCTAACGTGTTCGCGCTTCCTAAATAAAAAACGAATATTAGTCATTCATTGTAATCCTTTAGGCGCCTAAATAGATAAAAATCCGGGCAAGTGCGAGTCGGACTCGCCCACCGAGGGTTCCGTAAAAATTTGTAGGTACATATTATAAATAGCTCAAGAATTGAGTGTCCATGTTTTGCCGAGGCTTTCCCGAAATTCAGTTTCCAAAACCTATAATTACTTAAATTGTGTTGAATAAGTGAAATTGTAACTCGATGATTCATTACGTACTTTAAATAATTATAATAATTTAAATGATTTTATGATTAAATTACAAATGTATAGTTGCAGATTTTTCCCTGTACTTGTAGTATAAGATGTTACTCAGATGGACGGACGGACAACAAAGTGATTCTATAAGGGTTCCGTTTTTTTCATTATGAGGCAACCCTAAAAATGTCGACAGTGTGAGTACACTTAAAATTTAAGCTCCTACACTGTATTAACACGTAGTATAAGTGGGTCCTCGATAGCTCGAAATTCACAGAACTGGTAGAAATATTTTGTTCCCTACCCTACAAAAAATAACCTTGAAATAATCAGTGAGCCCTTATAATCTATTTCAGTATATATTTTCCTTGAATAATAACAAAGTAATTTTCCTTCAGTCCTTAGCAATTTGCCGAGTGTACGTCATTGTTTCCTACCGAAATATTTCGATGAAATGATAATGGAATTTATGGCTGACGTTAATACGTGTTTGTTTACAAGGTGTCTGTTTCACTTTGGGTGTGTACTTATTATATTAAAAATATCGTTTCTTTTTTAAATGGTTTTGAAATTAAGTAGAGTATATTGTTTTTTATACGTAGTACCTACATATTTTACAAACGTTAAGTCAAAAACTTCAAACTTCAAAAGACACGTCAAGTGTCTCTTGACATTCAACTAACTGAGGTTCTGTTCTATATTTGCATATGAAATGATTATTGTTATGGGGATAAATATTTAAGTCTGGTTGGTCTGTTGAAACCGCGCTTTTGTGACCTGCTAACGACGCAAAGTAGTCACAGTTGTACAAAATCATGTTCATTAATGTTGGAAATACACAATCTAAATCTAATGCTAATGTAGCAAATTAGATACTACCTTTGCCTAGTTTATGTGTACGTATGTATCACGTTCTATTCCCTTCCAGAGTAGACACAACGTAGCGCCATTGACCCAACTCTGACTTAAAGTTTGGACCTCTTTCACATTCATCAAACCATTCGTATACGCTTCTATCTTTACTTAACACGTATTGGCTAACAATCAAAGGGGAAGTCGTCAAGGAATCCTCATCGCTTATATGATTAACAACCCTAAATGTAGGCCCTGCGAAGCACTGACCTGCAGTAAGACGACGACGGGCGGCAGGGGCAGCGCGCGCAGTTGCCTCAGCGCCGTGAGCAGCTGCTGCGGCTCGTACTGCGCCGGGGACAGCACCGCCACCAGCGAGCGGCAACGAGACGCCTCGCCCACCAGCTCGCTGTACCCTGTACCACACGCCTCGGTGTTATACTATATCATATTATCATCATAGGTAATACTTTGGTTGTAACGAAGTGAGTCGGTTTGATGGGCCTTCACGCCTTAACCACATACATAACCGATTACTTTTTCTTTATACGATTTTTTTTGAGCATTTAGATTTCAAGGCATGTGAGAGTATACAAAAACGAAAGGGAACATCTTCCTAGTTCAGTTATTTGTACTTTGTTTTTATCAGAATTTTTATCAGGAAAAACGTAATAAAATTCGTTGCGTGTTTCGAAGAAAAATATATTGAATTTAAATTTATTACATAATTCAAGAATTGAAAATATTATTACTATTAGCCTAATAAGTAAATACTTATATGCGGTTACTTACACGTGTCAGGCTGCGTGGACAGCAACACCGCATGCACTCTGTACTTGTATTTGAGCGAGAGAGTCGGAAGTAACGCTCCTCGCACCAGCTCGCCGTCTACGGCTGTCCAACAAACTAACACATCGAACTCCTTCTCCAGTACTGTAACGGACAAAACACATGCAAAATTATTGAACAGGGGGCAGAGCTAAGCAGATAATAAACTCGAAAATGTGTAATAAGATAAATATGTCTATTATACTCATTTAGATTGATCGATAGTGGTAGTGACCTCTAGCTCGTGCGGCGGGGGGCTGGTGGCGCGCGCGCGCGTGTCGCGCGGCGAGCAGCAGGCGCGGCGTGCAGCGGCGGTGCAGCGCGGCCGCCGACAGCAGCGCCAGCGCGCCCGCCGCCGCGCCCAGCGCCAGCGCGCGCCACGGCACGGCGCCGCCGCCGCACCAAGACGACTCCGACGTGCTATCCGAATCGCCGTCTGCCAAAACACATATAGATTAAGTCCAGTGGTCACCTAGAAGACCCGATCGACCTTCCAAAAAACTACTTCCACGATTAGTTCGTAGGTTCATCTATATCTATCGAGATTTTTAAGATGGTAAGCAAGGAAGCTAAGCTTCTCAATCGTAACACGTTTCATAAGCAAAAATGTTTCTTTTAACGATCTACACAAGAGTGGCTGAAAGTTATTATTTTTGTTTATGCTGAAAATTGGACATGAAATGCACGATTTAAAGGGTAACTCATAACCACAATCAGGGGAGATTACATTGAATAACCTTCATAAATTAAAGTTGCTCATATTGACCTACAAACTAACAAACACTGCGACATATCTTAAAACCGATATTAGATTACCATAAGACAAATATTTACGGTAAAGTAAGTGCGTAAAAATGGAATAAACTTTTAAATATATTATTAGAAGTAAAAAATCGCAAGGAAGTATTTCCAAGTGTTGCAAGTAAACAGCTTTATATTTTAGATCTAATGATAAGATCTAAGGACTAAGATTAACAAAATATAAATACCGATTTAAATTCTAAGAAATACAACTCGTGTCAAAATAATTTTATCTTATCACCTTACATCTGTAAAAATGTGTCGGATGTGTAAATATATAAATACCTGTTAAAGTAGATGTACCTATTTATAAACCAGACTATATTACTTATAGTAACAAAGTAAGATAAATTAGTCACTGCGCGTTTTACCAAAGGATCAAAGTGACCTAGGTCAAAAATCATATATTAATATTTTTCTTGTATTAGTTTATATTTGCAAATTCTTCATATGTTAACTGTTCTTTATACAAAATAACTGGGGAGGTGATCGTATTTAATATTGTTGGATAATAACAACTTCAACAAGTCATTTCGATTCTTAGAAGCAAACATTTCCAGTCTTTGCTTCTAAGAAGTACCAAAGATAAAATATATTTGACTTATATTAATAACAGTAAATAAATAAATAAAAAAATATAAAGTACAAAATTACATCGTACGGTGAGAGCATCATTACAGTGAAAATAGTTTTAACTACCCGAAAGATTGTAATTTTTTCAACATACCTATTCTTACCAATTCTGTGGCGCAGTGGTAGTGCTAGGTGTAAAAAATACTGAGATCGTTATTTAAAAACCGAATTAAAATTTCATCCTTATCCTTACAAACAAAAGGAGAATTTCCCATAATAGTCGAATTAGGAAACACATTAAGTTTATAATTACTGTTGTTATTACATTTTAAAATTATTTAAAAAGAATCACAGGTTTCAATGAGCCTCCATCATGATGAATTGTTTTAAAGGTGTATTCGTTAATCGTTTACTCATAGGAGTGGTATTTTTTCTTTAAATTGAATGGATGGGACATAATGAATAGGACCAAACGGTAACTGTACCCTCTCCAAATAAAAAAAGGATCTTCCAAATCCGTATTCATAGTTGAATAAATGAAGGAATTCTAAAGTAATAAACATAAAAAAATCCAACCTAATCAAGAACCTTTTCGTTCGAGTTGGTTAAAAACGAAATCAATGAATAGAAGGCAATAGAAGCGTTAACAAGATGCGTTCATCTGCGTTATATACCTTTCACTTAGCACAAGGAAAATGTAAATTGTTTCGTGGAATGTATAAAGTACTTGTAAGTCTTTTTCAACGAATACTTGCAATTAATTACATATATCTACGCAGCATGCTTACACTACTATGTTTTGACTTTCTAATGAATGCTTCATCCCGACGATGGTCTAAGCATTCGTATATACTTGGCTACTAATAATGTACAATATCTATATAAGTAATTGTTATTAAAGGTCAGTCGTAAAAGAGGAAATATTTAATGAATGAAGCCACAATGTAGACTAAGTATAACAAAAGCTTAATAATACTATAATATTTTGTTAGCAGCCTGTAATATCCGACAAAACATTAGGAATTACTCGGTGTAATTCAATTATTACATTTAAATTATATAAGGAAATTTGAACGTAAATCTCATCATCATCAAAGTGGAAGTAAATGTTGTAAACAAAAGAATCAAGTAATGAGGGCCTCTGTTGCTAATCAAGTTTGACTTGGCTTAATTAAATGATTTTATTTAAAAGTTGGAATCCCGTAAGCATGTTATTATTTTACATTTATGGCACTGTTACATTAAATTATGAATTAAAATTTGACATATCTATGTATTTATATACAAATGTTGTTTGTTTGAGTACGTTTTAAAAACTCAACTTCCGAAGTTCTGCACCGATTGAGCTCAAATTTTGACACGATGTACAACTCGATTCAAAGATGATTTTTATTTTTATCTATTTATTTGATCTATTTTTCGCGTCAGTTTTGTTTCTCATTTCTCATGAATGCAACCACAATGTACTGCAACGAAGCGTGGCAGGGTACAGCTAGTTATTAATAAATTCATAGTTGAATAACAAAGAAAATCGAATACAATTTTGGCTGAAGATTGTAAGCAATTCAATATCATCTAATGCCCAAAATACCTACACAGTCGAAGTGATTTGTTATAAATTGACATGACTGATAACGACTTAACAAAGGTTACGATCTTGGATAGGCAAATATCATATACACCAGTATCTGATACATAAATAAAATAAAATTATAACCTCAACGTGTACATTACTTTTGTCAAAGCATTGTAAAAATACAACAAAGTGTTAGGATGCCACACACCTTCAGCTGTGCAAATAACGCTGCGTAATGTGAAGGACCCTAATTTTACATATCAGTACCGAGATAATCGATATCGCGGGATTAAGCAGTACACACTTATAGAAAAAACATACTTAAGGAGTTTTCCAAAAATGGTGTTTTATTCTTGAAAACTTCAAATACTTATGATTAAAATGTTTATAAATTATTTGGATAGATACTATAAACAAGTTTTTAAATTTAATAATAAACCAAAATTTTGAAAACAGATTTATTGAAGGTTGAAGGCAAAATACCCGGGTTCAGGAAGGGCCTGTCCAGAAAGAGGGCGATACTTAGTCCGAAGCACACAGTTAAGTACTATACCTCGAGGAGGAAGCTTTTGACAAGTCAAGGAAACACGCGTATACCGATACGCGTGTTTCTTCGACTTGTCAAAAGCTTTTGATCTCGTTGCCTATGATGCGCTGTGGGACAAGTTAAGGGACACGGGTGTGCTGCTTATTGTTCGACTGCTTATTGCTTTTAAGACGTCACTACTTTGATTTCGGTCGTTTTAAATATAAATTAAAATTAATGAAAAATAAGATATCGTTAAACCTCAATCTATAGATAAGATTTAGGACCATAAATTGAACAGTGAGTTACATAATAAGTAAAATCTCATACGCATTAAATTGGTATCCTAATTGACTAGATCAATTGGCGAATTCAAAAACCAGGTGTGAAAAATTTTAGTAAGAAGATTATCAGGTAAATACATACTTCTGTAGTGCACAGTGACGTGTTTCCTCGTGACGGCTCCATTGCTATGTACGAGACAGACGAACGTCCCATAGTCCTGCGCCGACACCCGCTCCACGGTCAGGTACGACCCCACAATGTCTTTCACATCCTCCCTGTATGTGATAAATAATTCATATTGACTTCGCGATTCACTTCCTTGATGGTTCAGGATACGATACTAAATATGGTCACCATAAAAGTATTTTATCACATACCTACCTACACTGCATCAATCCAAAAAAAAATAAAGGTTGAGTGACTTTATAAATGGCTCACACAATATTGAGCACAAATAGGATTTTTGGTTAGGATATTAGGTTTAGCTAATAAAATACCATTGATTCCTTTATAAGGATTTACTTTGCAAACTGGCAACAGTTTTCATAGTATGTGATGAGGATTGGTAGATTCAAAAACTTTTTAGAATAATGAGGATTCCGCAGTTTTTCGTGACCATTTCAGCAAGGGATAAAAAATTATTCTTTACGTTTATTACTATTTAGTTGTTCTACAATATTTGAAATCATTTTTATACTAGCCAACATATTGTATACTCGAATTCTTATTTAATCGGATGAATTTTGAGTGTCACACTTACCGTGTAGTCTGATTTTCAAATTGTGTAGGTAGTAAATCTCCTTCGGTGCCATTAGGCCACAACCTTCGCCACTGGAGATCACTCCGAGCGTCCGCCAAGTACGATCGACCTAAATAATAGTTTAAGTAAGTTTAAGTAGTCTGTCTTCCATAAAAGAAAAATACGATCAGCTTGTGTCTTCTAGTTGTGTAACTGGCGCTTTTTAAGTATCAAAATGTGTAGAAGATAGACGAGTTAAATTTACAAAGGATAAATGTCCCGTTTAGTTCTAACATGTGTTATAAATTAGCAGACTGGAAAATGCTTGGCACGTTTATACACATGGGTGATATAATAACAGCTAAGAAATTCAAAATATGCGCCACGCATATTCAATACAGGTAGTACTTGCACTATGACAATTAAAACATGCTGTTCCCCGTGGCAGTCCGTCAAAGCGAACATAGTATGAAAAACAAAGGACAGAATACGAATTCCGCCTCTGTCACCTAAAGCATTGAACATTTTATTCAGGTGGCCTTTTATTCTTCAAACAATATAAAATCTTAAATAGTATATTATTTTTATTCGTTGAATATGAGTGGGTTTGTGCCAATAGCGACATATAAGTATTTTCTTTGCGTGGGAGTTGTTACTTACCGACGAGAGCCTCGCAGTACAATCGAAGTCCGCCCCCAATCTCTACCGACTGATCGTTCGAAATGAACATTATTTTCGGTGTGTCCGTTGGCTTTTCTGTGAAGCGAAATGTTAGTTAATACATTTTAAATGTTAGTTAATAATAATAATAAAACAATTAGTATTTAAATTGTGGTTCTAACACTAAAATTTTGTTAGTGTGAATGCTTTTTTTTTAAATATTGAAAAATAGTAAACCCGTACAATAAATATACGGGCTCGCTAATCGAATTTCAGCATGCAAGACAGTTGCGGGCCGATGTTATATTTGAAACAAGCACGGGTAGTGTCATAGCGATATTTATCATAATACCCCGTTCAAGACTGTATTGTATGTAAGAGAACATTTCATATTTTAATAATATACATATTGTAATAGTTTCTTTTAACTTTAAGTTAATGGGGTCGGTTGAATCGAATAGCCAGTTCGAGATACAAGTATGCGACCATTGCTGCCATTTCCAAATCTAGTAGTAGCCTTTTCCGCTGCTGACCTTTACTATTCAATATACCTACTCCTAATTTTCTACTCTTTGATTCGGTAACAATAATGCGTAACATTTTTACAATTTATTTTATTCTTAACATTTTATTTGGAAACTGATAAATTGAATTTTAAACTTTTCCGATAAAACTAATATTTCACAAATTTACAGCAAAAACTTGATAGACTGCCCAGTTTTTTTGAAAATATCTGCATAAAAACACTTCTATTTATCGACTACATATAACGGTCCTTAAACTTGACTACATCTATTTGTACCAGCCTGTATATACAAAATTACACGTTTTTGAACGTTTATTTGCAAGCTTAGTAGAGATATTGATAAAATTATCAATTGTAAATGTGTCAAATATCATTTAATCAGTTTTGTAGAGACACACACTTTTATTCTTTAACGTTTAATGTCCTGTCGCTAGGACGCTATTTAAATTCGTATTACTGATTTAAGTTCTGTGTCTCCCACTTCCTTTTTACTGATAAATGCGAAGCAGAAATTGTGCGAATCGTAACGTTGTTACAAACTGGAATGGGCCAGCGTAATGTCGCTCGAAAATGTGAAGTTAGTCGATCAATTAGTTTATTATTAGTTAATTATCGATTAGTTCAATATGTCTACAAAAGGTATCTGAAGACCGGTGGTTACATCAGAAAACTTGGATCAGGCCGAAGAAGAAAGACATCTGAATGGGATGATCGATTTATAGAGTCAACAAGCCTCAGAAATCGCCATCGTTCTGGAGTAGAATTGCAGCACCTGCTCAGAGATAGTTGAGGTGATGCTGTAAGTGATAGGACAATAAGAAGACGCCTTAAAAAACGTAGTTTAACAACCAGACAGATCCGCAAAAGGTCCTAAAGTTACGACAGCTCATAAGGTAGTAAATTTAATTTTGCTCGTAAACACCGTGACTGGACATTGGCACAATGGGAGCGAGTATTCTTTTCTGACGAGTCCCGTATGTGTCTATGTATATAGGAATGCAAAATGCATAGCGTTCTTCCGGAAGAACGATATGCACAATGTGCAATATCTGGAAGGGCAAGCTTTGGAGGTGGTTCAGTTTTGTTCTGGGGGGGTATAAGCTCAGAAGCCCGTACAGAGCTAGTTATCGTAGAAAGATGAACTGTAACTGCTGAATCGTACATCAGTAACATTCTTGAAGAGCAGAAGAATTTAAATTACTTAAATTACTTGCGAGAAGTGGGAATACAAGTTCTGGACTGGTCAGCACGAAGTCTAGACCTTAACCCAATAGAGCATTTATGGGGCGAGCTAAAACGGCGAGTAAGACAGCGAGAACCAGCTCCGAAGAACATGCAACAGCTAAAAGCGGCTTTATTTGAAAAATGAGCACATATCCCAATCTGTCATTAAAAAGTTGATATAATCCATGAACAAAAGTGTGGTATGTGTTATCAAAGCCAGACGAGGCAATACTTCTTAGTAAAGAAAGATGACATTAGCGAAACCATTCTAAATCAGTGTGAACTTGTTGTAAATTTTTCTTCATTTTTGATATTTCTTGTGTATTACGAAAAAAATAAGGTTGGCTAATTTTAAAAGGAGTTATTTCATTCAAGAATTAACACACAATCAATAGAAAAAGAGTTTTTATTTTGGAACACAGTTAAGACTACATGTTGGGTGGGTGGCCTAATTTTATTGTCCACCAGTTTATATTAATAACGAATAATCAATACGCGGTTTAATATTTACGGTTAGGTCACTATGTTAAAAACTACAAAAATAACGGTTAAGCTTATGTGCAAGTCGTTATTTTAATAACCGTACACATTTGTATCTATGAGATTTATACACGCTTAGGTAAAGTTCTATTAGTTGATTGTTTTTAGTTATTTACTACCTTAGTGCAATATAAAACTGTGTTTAATAATATAAACGTATGTATGCATACGCCTTTATGACACGAATATAAAGGCACGACCTCCCGCATTGCTTGTGCTTTGCAAACTTTCTCGAGGAAGCCTATTAAGCCTAATTTTAAAGAATAAAATCTGTGAGTTTATCTCTTTTTTTTTGTATCCTTTGTTCATCATTTGATGATTTGTATTATTCTATGATTAGATTATACTAGCAATTTATAAAATGTTAAGCCTTAGTGTTTTAGCAAATCAATTGTCAAAATGGTATAAACAGCAACATTTTAGGATGTGGTGAATATACATATATGAATTTTGGAATAAAATAACAAAACCCGTAACATTGATCCTCACCTAAGATGTTGAGTGTAACAGTGTGCGTTTTTATGTGCGTCTCATTGCTGATTCGACAAGTGTAGTTGCCGGAATCAGCTCTTGACGGTCGCTGCGTGTATAAAGTCTGATTTGCTGCCTTCGGGTACAGAATAAATGTGGACACGCCTGCAGACCAGGGGTATGCCACACCGTCTTTAAACCTGCAAAGAACATGATGAATTTAATATTTATGAGTTTATTAAGATGGTATCATCCTACTTGAGGCTATCAAGTTGAAAAGAATGAGAGGTAAATAATGATAAACTTCATAGGTGTCCCACAGAGCACATAAACGCTCAGGTGACGGTAGTCAACAACATTTGTGATAGTCGATAAGTAGAATCAATCTGACAGCTGTCTAAGTCTAACATGACTGTAGAATTATAGAATCAGGCATTCAGATGGTGCTATATGGCTTATTTTACACTAGTATAGCAGTGACATTCATGCACCCCAAAAGTTTACTGTGGGATTCGAAGTCACATGGAGGTTGTTATCAACATAAAAACTGTTAATTGGTAGCAATGACTACGTAATGGAAAATCTAAGGCCATTATTAAATGTTACGTTACAGTGCACAAGGAAATTACGGGGTGCTGTGAAATAATCGGCCTAAGCAACTGTGCACAGTGATTCTAACTAGGTCCTGACGTTCTAATTGCAAACAGAAACATAAAAAAAAAACGACAATCGACAAGAAATAAGAGCACAAATTTTAATCATTATTCGTAATTTACCACAAACGTTTTTATTCTCACACTAGCAATACCCGGCGCCTATAAGTTAACCCAGGTCATAATCTATCTGTATACATAATTTCATCCAAATCCGTCCAGTCGTTTCAGAGTGAAAAATAACACATACAAAGTACAAAGCGTGGGATAAGTCAACGTTAACGAAAGAACACAAACTTTCGCTTTTATAATAGGGAGGTTATTACGATTATAATATGAGGAAATAAATCTTAAAAATAACTCACTGGTACGAAAATTCTGAGTACGCTGTACTTCCTACACTTAGTGTGGGATAGCTAAACTAAATAGCGACATCGATATATAACGATGCGAGTCGATTCACTATTATTGGGTAGATGGAAAAAAGTGAAGTGAGCGGAGCACGTGGTTTCTTAGGGAAATCTAATTACAACATCTCTTTGTATTTGCTCCGTGTTGGTAGTTATTGTATTGCGCGAGATCAGTCGACTTTCTATGTGCAGTAAATAATTCCCCGTACAAGCTAATGGAGTGTCATTCTGGCAGAGTGGCGTGGTGGCGTAATGCAAATGTCGATGACAGCAGAGTGATTCAACGAAATACTGCATCGTATTTGACTCCACGAACATTCATTCCCTAGTAGGTATTGCGCAAATGATACATGAAGACGTTCATACAGTTACTTCAATCATATCGAGTTAATCTTAAAATATTTAGAATCACATAATCAAACAGCTGTAATTTGTTCAGAGAATCGGGCTTATGCAAACAAACCGTCGTACGGAGCTACCGATTCCCGCGAACAGTAAAATTTTGCGGGAGCCGTTTTTGAATCGTTGGAAAGAAAACAAACATTTGAGCGATGTTTCATCGCAAGGCCGTCTTAGTATTTTTTCTAAGAAACGGTAAGGTGTAATCTGGTGAATATCCTATGTATATAGAATACCATGAAGTTAAAGTATTACTCGTAGTGAGTAAAAGTGAAACATAGCTCGCAGCAATCTGAATAATCATTATCTTAATCCCCTTGTCTCAGTTAAAACGTTGTTTTGCCAATGTGGGCAAAACAAATATTATAAAGCCGGCACTGAGATCTGCACCGACGTGTCGTACATAGCTATTATTTGCACTAGAGTCGTGACAATTTCCAAGAAAACATATCAAGAGCGTATGTTTACACTCTTCATTCCACTTTCCAGTGTCCCTGGGAGAACGATGCGAATATTTTTAACTTTTTTCGAAGTAATGACTCACGCAATGTACGCATTAAATGTATTGAAACAAGATTTATTTTTTAAGGAATGCAACTGAGCCTTTCAAAAAAGGTGCAATCTTAGGTATATTCTTAAGAGAGATATAGCATTCTGGAACTACACACACCAGTCTGGTTTTGTATACATTTATGAGTCATTCACAACTTTACACATGGAATTTAGTTGAGTGCAGATGACTTTTCAAAAAATCGAAGTACCTACTAACACTGAAAATTCTACGACTAGAGTATTCAGAAATAAGGCTTTAATAAATTACTTAAATGTTCTTTATACAATTTGCATGTGTAAGGAAAGAACTCGTCTAGCGTCTTGCAATAAATAACGCCTGATAATATGCTATTGTTAGGGATGCCGACACAAATAAATTACTTAAGCAATATATGGCGTATATCGTATATTTTAATTGCCGTTTAGCCACAAATGCATAGAAAAAAAGATGACTAAGGCTGGGTTTGATTATTAAGAAGCATTTTATAAATTTATCGACACAATATATTGCTATCACGAAACGTGTGTGAAGCATCCGTTACATTCGAAATATCGTCTGTCGTGTAGCAGGAAAACGGCATATAAAGATCAAGCAAAAAGAAATCCCCGATGAGGTCATCCTCCGGTCCGCGTCGTCGGCTCCTCCTGTAAAAAGCATCGAATATTTCCGAAATATAGCGAACCGGTCTTTGACCGTGTATCGGGCTCCTCACCACAGTTCATTCGCGTGCAGTCTCCCTGCAAACGCAGCTTACACCTATACTTATCGAACTATGAGTATATTTATACCTATTGCACGCTACATCCAGTAAAATTTTATTTGTAAGCTTTTAAATTATATAATTTGTTAAAATAAAAATCTATTTATCTGCTAACTGCACGGATGGTGAAGTGGTTTAAGGGTCGCCTCGACGCTTTCTACTGCACTGAATGTTGTGGGTCCGATCCCCCATGGGACGACACTTTGTGTGATCCACAAATTGTTGTTATGACTCTGGATGTTCTTACATTTATGTTTGTAAAGTCTCCCGCGACACAGGATATATTCCTAGGAGCTGTATTTAAAAAAAACTGAATAAGCATATTATGTAGCTCGAGACTCATATATTTTATAGATTAGCCAGCAGTAATAAAATTGTGACAGTACGCTAATTACTAATTAAATATTGAGATATATATATATATATATATACCTACATACAAATATATATATGTATATATATAAAATATTTTTAACATATATACTGAAGTATCATTATTTATTCAAGTGAAACGGAATTAGTCATAGGTTCTTGGAATAAATAAAATCTTGAAAGTACACCATATTGTGATGAAGGAAGTGACTTCCTTTTCTGCTATTAAAGTCGTATATAGATGTTAGTTTCTGTTATTAAGTGGTTAAGCGTATAAACTATATAATATACTTAATACACTCAGTTGTTGAGTGTTGAATGGTGCTTATTTTTTACAAAGCATATACAGGGAAATACCAGAAATTGCCCGGGTGACGGTACATTTATTTATAATCATACTACCGATATCATGAGCTAATGTTCATTGTTATTATTAACATTCAACGTATCCAGCTTTTAGTATGACTGATTACATCATTATATCCAAATAGAGCACAGGAAGTTAATATAATATAGCAAGTTAAGTAATTGTTTACTTTCAGGTAAATGAACTGATCGGTATTTTTACAACCTACGAGGATACTTAACGAAAATTCAACTTATTTTAAATCAAAACGCTCAGCAAGCTTCATTAAAGTAGAAAGAACACAGTAATTTTGTGTTGTAAAATATAAGTACCGGAATCAGGGTCGTAACAAAAAGTGATTGCTTCTTAGTTGTTACATCTTTTTTTATCTAGCGTAATCGTTCAAAACTCTTCTTCTGTTTAAGGCCTATAATATATCTAGAAAGATAACGATACAATTGAAATCAAGAATCTAAATATCTGACTAAGATTTTATGCGCATGTTTTACAACAACATTTAGTAGTAAATGGATCAAGGAATGTCAATTCATAAATCATTGATTTAGAGCGTCCATAAATATGACTTATAACTTAATAAGAATGTCAGTATATCCAAATGGCAAAGTAATTTCCTAAAATTTCGGTGTATTAGCCGGAAGACGATATGATTACTGACTTGTATATAGAGGACAAGGAGAAGAGGCTAATGAGAGGGGGAACGTTGCACCAATTCTTGGAAGTAATTAGGGCTAGTAGCGGCTGGTCCGAGTCCCGGCCTCAAATTGACACCGCGGCAGAGCTCTCTTCAGAGCTGCGGGCGGTGTCGAGGCACTACGGTGCAGCAGTTCTATATGTGGAGTATGTTGTTAAACCCTTTGTTGGCTCAGCCATTCGAATGCTGATCGTTTCTCTGAAACAACCGCAATTATACTTCTCTTTCGAAAAGTTGACACACACACACATGCCGGTCGTGTAATGACGTCGCCTTCCTTGCATTACAGTGTAATCGCACGCCCCGTCACGCACCGATGACAATAATAATAATGGCTATACATTGAAGGAAATGAAAACTAAACATTCTACTATTGTAAATATTATAAATATTATAACCTGTTAACATATTGATAATTTACGTGTGACTACAAACGTCAAGGAAATCTCTATATTTTCTAGGAATCGCTTTGAATAGAAGTAGACTTTAAAACCAATACAACGATTGTTTAGACGAACTGTACTTTACAGCTCAAGGTGATAAACAGCGGCGATTTATATTAGAATGGTTTTACCACCATAATGGAGTCATACTTTTATATAGAGGTCCTAAGGCAGAAAATAGGGATGAAAATAGAAAATGGACAAATATAAACTAACTAACTAACTACGGTCTTTTCGGTAACAAAGAGAAACGTAAAACGTGCAACGAGAGAAGAAAACCTAACCTAACCGGGTTGGGGGGTAATGAGCGAGCCGACCAGCACGCTAAGGAGGAGGCTCTGGGACTACAGAAAGCCCCGGACCAGAGTTTGGTATGTTTATCAATTTGCGAAAATGTGGGCGTAAAATAATAAAATTTTATATCTCGTTTAGAATCCTACGAAGGTTTATACATTTCCTAGGAAATATATTCATTTGCGGTTCTTGTTATTTTCCGGTGATATTTATATTAAATACAGTGCTGCTTTTAGTTATATCATATCTAGTATGTATTGCAAATTTTATAATGGACAAAAACATCGAACAAAGAGTTTGTATTAAATTTTGGATCGCCAATGGAATTTCGTGTTTGGAGTCACTGAAAATGTTACAGAAGGCATACGGTGAATCGACTTTATCAAAAACACGTGCCTTTGAGTGGTACAAAGCGTTCAAAAGCGGTCGAGATATGATGGCAGATTTGCCTCGCTCTGGTAGGCCATCAACGTCTGCAACTAAAGTTAACATCGCAAAAATCCTCATTCAACTTTGAGAGAGATAGCCGGAGAACTTTCTGTATCTCACGAGTCTATCCGTACCATTTTAACTAATCATTTGGGTATGAAACATGTTACCGCTCGGCTAGTCCCAAAAGACCAGAATTTTCTCCAAAAGCTCAATCGCATGAGAGTCGTTGAGGACATGCTAGAACGAGTCAATTCCGACCCAACATTCATGAAATGCATTGTTACTGGTGACGAGACGTAGGTTTACGAGTTTGACATGCATACTAGTCAACAAGCTTCGGAATGGCGCCTTCCAACTGAACCGAAAACTGTGAAAATAAAATTCTTGGATTTTGCACCACGATAATGCGCCTTTGCACAAGGCCATCGTTGTGAACGAATTTTTGACCAAACATTCAACAAATACCATCGAGCAACCATCCTTCCATTCACCAGATATGGCTCCAGTCGACTTCTTTCTTTTCCTAAACTCAAATTACCACTTCGTTGCATCCGTTTTCAATCGGTAGAAGACATAAAGGAGAAATCGCGGCGAGAACTGAACTCAATTCCGGAAACAGCGTTTAAAAACTGTTTTGATGATTGGATTATTCGTTGGCGTAAGTGTATCGTTTCTGAAGCAGCATATTTTGAAGGTGATAAAATAAATTTGGATGAATAACAAACATTTTGTGTATTATTGATCTTTTCCTGGTACCTTCTTGACAGAGTAGTATTATGCATGTACTCAATGCAGTTTTCGATTGTCATATCGTTGTTCTATAAAACATATCTTAGCGATTAATCTGAACACATAATATCTTTATTTCGATAACCGACAGCTGTGTAGAAAGTAACGAGCAAAATACGCATACCCTTGGCGTTTTTGCAGAAAACGTAATTACATACACAAGTCTAAGTAAGTATACGTTTGCATCTGAGCTTATATGAACATATATAATTGTGTGTTGCAGTGATGGCACGTAATATCGGGAATTAATGTTCTAGAGGCAACAAGTGTAGTAATTTTATACGGTTAGTTTGATTAGAAAGACCGCAAACAGTCCGGTTTGTACAAAAAAGTTTATCATAGAACAGATGAATGTGCAAACCACAAAGTTGTCTCAATGTGGTTCGTTCCGAGTACCAGCGAGATGCGAAACGTGACAACTTACATGTTAATCCAAGGTACTCCATCACTCGACCCACCTAACCCGTTTAGTAGCGACTAATTGTAATAATAAGATGTTACACTTCTCTAAACATTTCTTATATTGAAAAGTAGGATATTGGCTATAAAAACGTTACTTACTTAACTCACAATTCTAACTAGCGTAGTTTATTGGAAAGTGATTCAGTCCGAGTCTCAACACAAAGGGTGCGTCATTGGCTGATCATAACCCATATAACAGAGCTGCGATTTTAGTAGTTTCCTGGAACCTGTTTATAAAGCAGCTGTTGCCGTCTTCTAGCAATTTTGATAATAATATATTATTCGAGTATACAGTGTTTGATTACCGCGAAACTCTAAGCTAAGGTCGATCATTGCATTTGCAGTTCTACGGATTAAGCAATTTTAAGAGAATCACTCCCATGGCATCCTTTACTTTATGGGAATTGTATTTAGATCAAAGAAGGGGATAAAAGTTTTTTTAGGTCCGTCTATAGTCCTGACAAGCAACAGAACCCTTACAGTTTAGCCAAGTTCATCTGTTTGTCCGATCGTATGTCCGTGGCAAACAATAATTGTTCAGCCTACCCTACCCTACATACATAGAGAAGATGATTTTTAGTGCCGTCCGCGGCGTGGGATACCAATGGATAGGTCCTTAAAAATACTACTTATCAGTACATTGATCTGATTGTAAAATATTAAACTTTATATTGCTATATATATTTTTGCTATATGCTATGCTATATTTTTTGAAAGACGCCAAAACATAACCCAATTATGTTTTGGCCTCTTTCGCGTAAAATCAAACAAAAGCACACTTCAATACCATCTAACGAAGACACATCAAACTTGGAGAAACTGCTAATAGTGCATCGCACGATGAAAGTTCTCGCGTTGAGTAATTTGCACGGATATTTACAACTTCCTAACGTCAATCGTTGAGCCGTGGTTCGCTATGCATCTTCCCTTTGCGTTGAAGGGAAATAAACGGGGGGGAAGGGGGCATTATGGAGGAGCTTTGCTAATATCCAGAAATCTCTTATTTGGTAAATTTTGTAAAAAGGAAGAAGGAAATACTCAGTCGCAGTTGTTACAGGTACTAATAAACTACGGAACCTTACACTGCACGTGATTCGACACGCGCTTTGCGGGGTTTTCAGGTTTCATGATAGATAAACTAACCAGTGAATATGTTAGGGCAAAACGGCTTCCAAGTAGGTACACTCCTCAGCTAAATACAATTACTGGGCCATATGAAAAAAAAAACGTAATCAGCGTTTATTAATTATATCTACTGAGCGTTTGTCATACTTGTCATGTGTAGTCGTCAAAAAAGTTGAGAAAGGAAGGCGGTGGTTTGTATTTGCGTTCCTGTTGTCCAGAGAATGTAGTCTTGAGGCTGGTAATGACAGGTCCCGGAACAACCAGGTGGCTGGTCCGTCTGCGTATGGGCAAAGAATGCCGGCGCAGCAACGTTTGGCCTGGGAACATGGTCAACACGGCTAGTATTGCGCCAGAGCTGCCCAACACATCTGTACTTAATCGATTCACTTACGCAGTAACTGCACTTTCAGATATTGACATGCTACCGTGTAACCATTAAGACAGTATGAAAAGACTACTTCTATAAGAAAAAAGTGGTGTATCTCCCAAAAAATTAAAAAAATAAGAATTAGGCCTGTAACCTGATATATATACAGGATTTAAGACGTTACTAATACTAGATAATTTATGATAAGTAAAAGCTTTCTAAGAATATTTAAATTAAAGTATAAAACAAAACGAAAATTTTGAAACTAAAAGAAACTAGATAATATACTCGTAATATAAAATTATACAATTCCATATATGAATATGCTTGAATAATATTTATTACGTGGCTTATGTATTAATATGTAATTTCTATACGTAAAACCTTCATTGTAATACGCACTTCAAAATGAATGTAAAATAATGGCGCGTAGAGAATATTGAAGACATCGGCTATTCCTGACCGCACTGGATAATGCCAGGTTTTTGGGCATACACGAACGACCGCTACCGATGTTCAACGTACAGACCCTTTTGTATTTAAATCAAGTGCTCATATTGCGTAACCGGAAACAGGAACCATCTACCAATTATGGAAAGCTATCCCATAATAAATACTTCTATTGAATCCAACGGCACTGTCGCCATGCGAACAACTACTGTCTACACACAACCTTAGCGGGTACTTCCAGCGAAGTCTAGAACACTTTTTATTATATCTTACCACGAATGACATTTTTTTGCGATGTCTAGTCGCATAATTTTAACATACACATTTAGAAATGTAAATACCACCATTTATCATATTCTTCGAATCAGTTGGATAGGTATTTAATCGAACAATACCCATTTTAACATTCGGTAGCCGATCGCGGTTTCTTGGCACTACGTGAAACTGCAAGTGCACAAGAATTTATTATTGCTTTATGTCACGCGACGAATACTAATAAGGGTGGTGGCAGTGTCTTCCATGCATGCTCCGACGTCGGCTACTCGATTGTGCGAAATATTAAATATTCAATTCCGTGAAACGGCCGGAAATGACTGTTTCATTATGCGCGTCGAGTGCGTAAAATGATCGATTTGGATGGCACTGGGCACTAGCCAGCGAGCGTCCGTCGCCGCTCCTCTTCTCAGATTCTCACAATTCCTGATAAAGATCGTTCTAAGAGCAGCGGACGTAACTAACGTTTCAAACGTATGTGCAAAGTGACAAAGGTTAGTCGCCGAAAACTTCCAAGTAATGACTGAATCATCCTCTATTTCATTAGGTTGGCAATTTTTCATGTGATGTAAAATAAGAGCTGATTTAGTACTTCATTTATATTTATTGCAATTGAAAGCTGCTACTGC